CGGCGCTTGCGGGCTTGCCTACCTCGGCCCCGTGCCACTTGCGGGAAGTGCGTTTTTTCGAACAGCCTTGCGGGAAAGTTGGTCTACACGGCGACAAATGTGTAGAAGTGGTGGTTTTAGCTGCTCCTCCTTGGAGAAGGCGGGGCACTCGTTGTCGACGAGCAGCGAGTTTTACTCGTTTGCAGTGCAGGCCGAGAGCGAGTCTTGGGTTCCTGCACAGCACGGCGGTTCCGCAAAGTGTTTCAAAGTCTCTCTCGCTCCCGTGCGGGAGGTCCCGCGAGTGCGAGGGAGACGGAAGTCAGCCTGATGCACACTGTGGCACACTGTTGCACACGCGCGACCTCACGCACGCGGACCCACCTCTGTTGGTGTGTCTCCGTCGCACTTCCTCGCCTCAATGAGTCGCGGCGAGCGACCAAGTGGACGAAGTGAACGAAGTAACGAGTGCAGAGTCAAAAGTCATACCCCGTAAAGCAGCCGAGCCGAGCGATAGCGCGCCAAAGACTTCCTGACGGCGACTTTGCCTGCCTGCCCCCCCCCCCTCTCTCTCTCTCTCTCTCTCTCTCTCTCTCCCCTCTCTCTCTCTCTCTCTCTCTCTCTCCTCTCTCTCCTCTCCTCCTCCTCTCCCCTCTCCCTCTCTCTCTCTCTCTCTCTCTCTCTCTCCCTCCCCCTCCCCCCCCCCCCCCCCTCTCTCTCTCTCTCTCTCTCTCTCTCTCTCTCTCCCCAGCGGGCTTCCCTTTCGAACTGACGCTGCTACACTGCGATTAAATCAATAACAAAAATTACACGCATTGGTTGTTATGGGCTGCGCGGCGGTGCGGCTGCGGCCTCGCCAAGGCCGCGGGTCTCGAATCTAAGCCAGATCGGCAAGTCACCTCGTTGAAAAGAAAAGCCAGCAAGGCGAAAGCGCCCCCGCGAGAGGCTAATAGGCAACCGGCACCGGCGAGCGGACGGACAGACAGACCTACGACGCGGTACTTCCCCGAGACGGACAGACTCTGGGTATAGCGCCGCCCCAGCCCCAAATGCTAGTGCATATCCAACGTCGTCGTACAAATAGACAGACAGACGGACGGACAGACGGACGGACGCACTCGCGACACCATAACGAGCTGCAGTGCCTGGCCTGCTTGGCAGTGGCGTGCCAGGCCAACGGCGGCCAAATGCTTGACGCCGCTTGACGCGCGGGTCACGTCATTATTATTGTTCTATTCTGCATGATCAAACCGGAATCTGGAATTCGAAGGCCGTCCGAGTCGTGCCGCTGCCGTCAACGCCGTTGTTGCTGTTGTTGTTGTTGATCCGGGGAAAAATTCAGAAAGCGCCTGTTCCATTTTTAAAAAAAACAAGAGCTTCTTTTAAAATTTTCATTTAAAAAAAAACTGAAAATTTGCAAATTTAATCTTGATTAAAAAGCATTAACTCAGCCGAAGCATTAAGACAATTTTTTTTATGAAAGTGCGTTTTTTTTTCTGCGGGCCAAAACACGGAGCAACCTCGGCGTCGCTCCATCTCGCTGCTGGCCGCTGCTGGCTCCTTTGTCCGAATCTGCCGGTCTCTCTGCCTTTGGGCCCGGCAGCCTCACCTCACGCTCCGCCCCGCCCCGCCCTTCCATGCAGAAAATTGAGACGGAAGAGACGCTCGGTTGAAACCCCCGAATGAGAAATTGCAGGGATGGGGATCGACACGCGAGGCCCTGTCTGTCTGTCTCTCTCGCACTCGCGGCGCGTCGCCGCGTCGCGCTGTGGGTGCGAGAGAGACAGACGCGGAATGAGTCCTGCGGGCGGTTTGGCTGGAGGCCGAACTGACGTTTGACTGGTCTCGTCTCCGCACGGCGGCGCACGGCGGGCTGCATCGTCGCTTTTGCACGCTTTGCATACGGAGAGGGCGCTAAGTATACAGCAGTACGCCCCGCCCGGCCCGCCGCTCATTACCGTAATAAGAAGAGGCGAAATGACGGACTAATAAAAGGAAGCGTTTTCATTCCCAGACGCCTTTCCTCTCGTCTTTATTCTTTTGCCGCGCGCCGCCATCTCTTGCCCCGTGTGACCTTATTTTACAGCGTCGGTGCGCCCCGCCACCGCCGCCGATGCGAAATTTTTCGACGGATTTATGTTTTGCTTATTAAAATGGTTTGGACGTCACGAAAGCGCCATGCGGCCGCATTTTGATTTTTATGTGCAAGGCGGAATGGATAAGTCTCAGTGGTTTGGGCGCCCTGGCCCTGGCCCCACTTACTTTGCTCGATTTAATGAGACGAGGCCCGGCTGCCTGATTCCGAGAGTCGTTTTCGTCGCTGTCTCTCTCGCACCCGCAAGACCGCCCCATGGGTGCGAGAGAGACAGAGCGACGACTCTCGGAATCGGCCCGCCGGCCCGGATCATAATCGTGTCGTAAACCTCCAAAACGCGACCGGGATGCGACACTCGCCTCGAAACATGAAACGCGTCACGTCATAAAGGTGATAACTGCCGCACTTACCAGTGCCAGTGTCAGGCAAATGGCGCTCTCCGCAAATTAAACAGTGTACTCGTTGACACTGTTCGCGTGTGCTGCACAAAAAAAAATCCAAAACAATTTTCTGTTTTTTAACCAAGTATAAAAAAAATTTGAAACATTTTTTTAATAAGATTCCCCGCCGCAATATTTTCAGAAAAAAATTCAGACTCTCTTAAAGCAGGGCGGAAATCCACGCAACAATTTTCTGTTTTTAAATTTTTTTTTTCATCATTGTAGTTTTTTTGCATGGGTCCTATACAGAACCCAGTTTTCTCCGCTTCCTTCACTCTGCGTCCCGAAATCGTCAAACTATTTTGAGATTTCGAGCGGTCCTGTCCTCTTGACAGTGTAGGCGGGCCGGACAAGTCTTATCCGCAGTAATTACATTAGTGGTGTCGGGGGTGGCGGGTTGGGGGGGGGGGTCGTGCCGCACGCGAGGATGGCCCGAACGTTGCCTCAAGTACAGTTTTGGTTTTGGTTTGGTGCAAACGATATCCTGCTGCTGCCTGCGCCCGCATCGACGCGCCTTGCAAAATGAGAGCCATTGATTGCGCGGATTGCGGTCTCGTGCACCTGCACTGCGAGCACTCACTTGATTCGCACTTTCATTCCTGCATACGTGCACAAACACACACACACACACACACACACACACACACACGCGTGTATGTATTCAGACATGAGCGCGCGAGCTCGTATCGGCGAGGGCCGAGCGCCCTTATCAAATGTCAAGGTGCTCCGAGGTGCTCGCCTCGCCGCCGCCGCTCGAGGCAGAGAGAGAGAGAGAGAGAGAGAGAGAGAGAGAGAGAGAGAGAGAGAGAAGAGAGAGGAGAAGTACGGCACTGCACGTGTGGACAAGTGAGCTAGTTGTCATTCATTCCGCATCCTTTGTAGAGCCAATGTGCTGCTGCTTGTCCCGCGCGCGCCGCGCCTCGCCGTGGACGCCGTGTAGTGCCAGCAGGCGCTCTAGTGCGGCTCGTGTCGTCAGCCGCTGCGTTTCGCCACCGCGCCGCCGGCCACATCAATTTGACACCGTTTGGCACGTTTGGCAACTGCTTGGCTTGCTCCGTATCCACGCCGTGTCCACGGCGACGCATCCAGGCGACAGTCTGCTTGGCGTCCGGGCTGCGGCCGCTCTGTCTCACTCGCACTCGCGGGGCGTGGCGTGGTGCGGCAGGGGTGCGAGAGAGACAGGGCGACGAGAGCGAGCCGGAAACATTGGCAGCCTCTTGGCAGCCATAAGGCGGGCCGTCGACACGGCATTCAATTCAAGCCGCGATTCGCTTTTCAATGGGAGCTTTACTCGGAGGCACGTCGCTCTGTCTCTCTCGCACTCTTCGCTCCGAGCGTCGAAAGCACAGCTCGGGAATGAGCCTGTTGTTGCCCGCTGCTCCGCAAATACTTGACCGGCCCGTCCCGCCCGCCGTCCCGGACGCGGCCCGCCGGAGACCTGAACGCGGGGCGCGGCGTCGCGGCGGCGTCGCGGCGGCGGCGTCGCGTCGCGAACCCGGAGAACCCGGGAACCCGGAGCCGGACGGACCGCCGCACCGCCGTCCCCGACGCCGACTTTGGCGGTGTTTCCGAATGATCGGCGCGCTGCGTTCGCTTGGCGTTCGGTTCGCGTTCGGTTCGGCCAGTCCGGCCAGGCAGTCCGGAGTGACGCAGGGTGTCCGGGGCGCTGCGGGGCGCTGCGGGGCGTGGGGCCGGCCGCGTCGGTGGCCTTGGTGAGCACGCTGAGCGTAGCGGCGTGTAGCAGGGCAAGCGTAGCAAGCGGAAGGAAGGTTCAGCGAACGGAGCAAGAGGGGGCGGAGGTGCGACGGGGAGGTGCGACGGGTGGGGCGGCCAGATCGAGCTCCTGCAAGGCCGCCAGGCCGCCTGGCCGCCTGGCTACAAGGAAGTGCGCGGGGCCCCGGCGCTGCCCCGGCGCTGCCCCGGCGTTGGTCGCAACAGGCATGGCGGCAGCAGCTTTACTGGTCGGCCGTACCGACACGACCGACACCGATCTGTCAAGAGCAGAGCAACTCAACTCGGGCCGCGCCGGGTTCAGTTACCGGCCTGGCTGGCTGCATGCTGGCTCCATGCTGGCCGGCCGCGCTGGGGTTACATCACTACCGGGGCGGGGTTGGCGGGGTGGGTGCACTGCGTACCGCCAACTGCGTACTGCGTTCCCGCCGGTAGGACCAAGGGCCATTGCACCCCAGCGCGGCGCAGCGCGGCGACAGCGCCGAATAGGGCAAGCCAAGGGCAGACAAGGGCAGGCAGGGCTTGAACCGGACTGTCTTCTGTTCCAGATGTGGCAGGACATCGAGAGCGTGCTGCTCGGCCAGCCGCCGGCCCCGCAGGCCGCCCCCGTGTGCGTGGGCTCGCCGCCGCCGCCGTCCATGGCGTCGTGCCTGCCGCCGCCCCCGCTGCCCCCGCCGGCCGCCGTGCCGCACCCCTACCTGGTGCCGGACGGCGAGGACCCGCTGGCCTACCAGGCGGAGGAGTTTGTCGACCTGGACATGCTCATCAACTTCGCCACGGAGCAGGGCAGCTTCTACTCGCCGCCGCCGCCGCCGGCCCCGCACCCCATCAAGGACGAGCAGTACCTGATGCCGTACAACCCGCAGCCGCCCAGCCCCCTGGACGAGCACATGGGCATGCTGCGCCTGGAGGCGTACCACGACGCCATGCCCGACGCGATGCCCGACGCCATGCCGGACGCGCTCCAGGACGTGCGGCAGGACACGTACAGCGGCATGATGACGATCGTGCACGCCGACATGGCCGACATGGCCGACATGGCGGACGGCTGTTTCCAGGTGCTGCCGCCGCTGCACCAGGTGCCCCAGGTGGCGTACTGCCACGGGCAGATGTCTCCGCCCGCCAGCCCGGACACGCTGCCGCCGCTGCAGCCGCCGCCGCCGCAGTCCTACGGCATGTCCATCCTGGCGACGCACCTGCAGCTGCCCCCGCTGCAGGTGCCCAAGGTGATGACGCCGCCGTCGTCGCCCAACCTGGCCGACCTGCTGTCGTCGCCGACGCGCAAGCTGCCGCCGCTGCTGCCGCCGCTGCCGCCCCCCGCCTCACTTCACCCGGAGAGCGTGGAGCCCGCGCCGCCGGGGCCGCCGGGGCCGCCCGCCAAGGGGAGGGGACGGCGTGCCTCTGCCGCCGCCTCTGCCGCGGGCCCCGGCGCGCCGAAGGTCAAGGGTCGGCGCGCGGGCGGGCGCAAGAAGCTGAGCTCGCACACGTGCGGGCAGCCGGGCTGCGGCAAGACGTACACCAAGTCCTCGCACCTCAAGGCGCACCTCCGCACGCACACTGGCGAGAAGCCCTACCAGTGCGGCTGGAAGGGCTGCGGATGGACCTTCGCGCGCTCCGACGAGCTGACCAGGCACTACCGCAAGCACACCGGCGACAGGCCCTTCCAGTGCAGACTCTGCGACCGGTCCTTCTCGCGGAGCGACCACCTCGCCCTGCACATGAAGAGGCACACCAACGCGTAGGCCGTCGCGGGAACGGAGACCAAGTCGGAGACCGGGGTGGCAGTGGCGTGCTGGGTCCAAAGGTTGCTGCCTCCTCTCAGGCCGATGTGAAAAGTCGAAGCGTGCAGACGACAGGATCCTGCACGCCGCTGTCTCTCCCCAGAGGAAATGAGGACCGAGGCGTCGTCGAAACGGCGTCTAGTCACACTGGGCGCAGAAACGACGATGCACTGACGGCCCGTTTCCCACTGGGGTGGCTGCCTCCCAGGTCTCCAGTTCGAATCAGTGACTCGGAAAATGACAAAACCGCGTGTCAAGAGCGTCAAGGAGTTTGTGCCATAAACAGGGATTGAAGTGGGTGGTCGTCTTGATGGGCCCGATGGCCCGATGGGTTGGGCTGGTGCGAGGGGCCCCGGGTGGGAGGGTTGCTTTCTAGTCTGTCTCACCGACACGACAACCACGACAGTGCCGCCATGCACCCGCTGCAGTTCAAGGAAGACTGTGATAAAAGGATTTCGTTCAAATGTTTCAAAAGCGGAGCAACAAGACATACTCTGAGATCGCGAGAAGCTCAGATTACCGATTACCCGTTCCTTCCTAGTCGTCCTACTTGCTGTGTTGTTTTTGTTTTGCGGTTGTGAAATATTGGACCGAACTGGGAGTGGAATTTTAGCAAAGTAAAAAAAAGTGTCGATTTAGGTGTAAGTGTCCGATTTGTAGTGTAGTTAGGATCGTTAGAACGAGGATAAGCTGAAAAGGCCGACGATGTTGGCAATTCTGGTCGGATCCGAGGGCAGCATCTATCACTTTAACTAGAAGTTTGCACGTGCATTTCTGTAGTCAAAGTTTTACTAAAATTAATTATGTCTCTCTTTTAGTCTTAGTTCAATGAATTGTTCAAACCCCAATAATTTATGTTCTCTCTCACTGTGCTATACGTTCCTCCACATGAAGGCGACAGGACCAGTGCCCATTTTACTGGGCCTTCTTTAAATTATTGTTGCATCACTAAAATCAAAGTAGAATCGTTTCATTTTTTAAGAATCTCAATGTTTAAATCCCTACAACAAACAGCATCACCTCTCTTTCCACTTTTCCTTTTTTGTCGCAAGTTTAAAGTATGCAAGTCCTCGTGTGAGTGAGTTTAGATGCGCATTGTAAAAGTGTACGTAAGTAATGAGTCTGTGTGTGCAAGGTTTTCGTACGTTGTAGAGTTATGCCAGTGGTCATAGAAATAGTATGAACGAAAATTGTAAATCGAAGCCGCGAGGAGAGAATGAGTGCATAGAAGCACGCCCGAGAGGAAAACGTCAGTGCTACATGTGCAATACCTTTTACATGAATCAAAACTGCATGTGATGATCTCAAACTGTGTTTTACGTTTACTTTCCGTGTTGTAAAGTGTAAAACACACATGTTAAGTATTTACCTTTATGTGTGATGCACGAGTCATATGCATAGTTTGGACAAAATAATAAAGAGCGAGAGAAACGTTGACAGTGAATCCACGAGTCTCTTTTTGACGTCATTTTCAAACACCTGGAGTCCTGCCATCGAACTTGCAATGCAGTGGCCACCGTGCTCCGTCCGAAACAGCCCCTAGCCCACCACGTGCACAAGCTGCAAGGCCCACAGGGCCGTTTGCCCCCGTTTCCTCTCCATGTCAGCCTGCCAGGCCTGCCAGGTGATGTATAGTGCACTAGGCGTTGCTTAATGTTCGCAGGTGGTGGTGGCCGGCACACTGCTATCTACCCCCGGGTAGGACTCTACCCCCGGGGGTCGAGGAAAAATGAGGCGGTAGCGAACGGGAAGAGTGACGCCAGAGTCTCGGGTTCAAATACGGTACGGGTGTGTTTCTGTTCGTTTATTTTCTTTCCGCGCTCCTGTCCGTTTTGCCGAAGGTCAAGGAAACTGGCGTCGTGGTAGGGCGCGTGGCGCGGAGAAAAGTTGAACTTCCCTCCTTGCTGGTCGCAGTACGTGCGTCCGTTAGCGTCGTGGGGGCGGTCTTCTAGTCTTTGCGGGTCGGCAAGTCAGCCACTTCGCTGGGCAAACACTCGACCCGACGGGCCTAGACGGGCCGACCGGGAGGGAGGAGCCAAGCGGCCCCGCCGGGGGCGGAGGGTGGCGCCTGGCCGAGTAGGGGTAGCACCAGCAGGGCTGGCTGAGGCATGGCCGCGCTGTCGGCCGGGGGGGGGGGGGGGGAGGGGCACTGTTAGCGTCCATTAGGGAAATTGAAAGGGAAGGCCCAGCCCCGCCAGCCCCGCGGGATGCTTCGGCGAGCAGAACGACTGTCCCTCTCGCTCCCACGGGGCGCACCGACGGGTGCGAGAGGGATGACCCGACGAGCCCTCGCGCTCGGAATCAGTCTGCGGGGCCAGCCGGTCGCGCTCCAGGTGGGAAGAGGGCCGGCGGCGAGGCGAGCCGTCAAGCCGTCCCGTCCCGTCGTATCCCAACACACGCGCCCCTTCCCTTCCACTTAGTTGATGCACCCCCTCCCCGACCCAAGGCCTTCCCCGGCCGGCGGCCCTTATCTGTTTCGGCGGGACAGGGAGGGCCTCCACCGCCGTGCCGCCACCGCCGTGCTAACGCCGCGCCGCGGTCAAGAGACGCGGAGGGAGAAAGGGGGCGAATGGCGAAGCCTGGCTGGCTGCCTGGCGAACGGGGAAGGATAATTATGACGAACGGCCGCCAGCAGACTGATTCCGAGAGTCGTTTTCATCGGTCTCTCTCTCTCGCACTCATGGGGCGTCTCGTACAAGTGCGAGAGAGACAGAGCGACGAAGACGACTCTCGGAATCAGCCCAGGGCAGCCGTGGACTGAGTCGACACGCGGCCTCTCTGGGCGAGGGCGAGGTGGAGGCCAGGCTGGGCCAGGCCGAGGCCGAGGGCCATCAGGCAGTTTGACAGAGGTAAATAACCGGACCGGGGTCCGGGGTCGCCGCGACGCGAGGGCCCCGGTGGCCCCGGCCGGCCCCGGCCAAAAGCCAGGCAAAACAAAAAAACCACTTTTTAACAGTGCTGTCAAGAAATTACTTTATTTGCTTAAACTTCATTCCTCAGACACAAAGGCATCGCGTGATTTAAACAGAAATATAACAAGTGTCAACAAACTTGCAGTGTGCCTCTGGACATTGTTTTTATTTAACCACCAGGGATGACAGAAAACTAGGCAAAATGGTCTTTGGGCTACTTTTCTGACAACTCTGTTAACTATACATACAAGTATTTCATAAAATAAATTTCTACATATGGTAAAAATTTACAAAAGCTGGCAGACAGTAGACAATTTTAATACTGATAACAAATGTGTTCATATAAAAAGGAAGTTAAAAACAAATCCTACTTTATTTGAGTCCTCATGAATGCCATGGAAAACAAACATTCGGCAAAAATCTTAAACGTTAGCTAGATTTTACACTAACTAAATCACAGGAGTACAGGAAGCTGGTTTCTAATGACTATAGGAAAAATCTTTGGGAATGATTGGACCCATTAAGCAAACTCTGTAAACATTCATTGAAATACATATAAATCAAGTAATGTCAAATTGAAACTGATTTAAAATGAAGTGACACACATTAGCGACACGCAGTTGTGTAGAAAAAAAAACTAGTGTCACGTGCACTACAAACTGAAGAAAATTCAATAGCCTAAAGCTTGTTCATTTGCAAAGAAAAAGTCAATTATGAATACTAGACAGTGCGTTATGTGGCAAAAGGGAAACTTCCCTTTAAAAGTCAGCTTAAAAATGAACTGATATATCTACAATATCAGAAATAGTACATTAGAAAAGCAACCTAAGCCCATTTTTTTAAAAATCACTCAAATGTAAGTAAATTATATTATAAAAATCACATGTGAACAAACTGACAAGCAATTTCAGGTGGAAGGAGCCATCATCAGAAATGTCTCATGAAATAGGTAACATGTAACACCAAGACATAAAATATTAGTAAAGAAAATTGTGACACCAGAATGATTAACAAATGAGCTGTTTACATTTGGATCAAATTTACTCTAATTTTATGACAAAAATTTTGATGCAGCTTGTTTTAGAACTTTGATGACAGTCTCCATCTCAGCTTTGGTGAGGTCTACATTTGCAGTAATACGAAGGGAAGGTGTTCGAGGTTGAGCTTCTATTTGGTCCAAGTATGAGGCTGGTATGATTGCAACCCCATTGCTGATGCACTGAAAGAGCAAATAAATATACATGCAAATCTAACGGATAGAACATTATCTGAGTGTATCACAAGAAGACCTTAAGGTGCACTTACATATTGAGATATATCATGTAGAAGAGCTTGATGCTTCCCTAAATCTTCGGGTGGGTTCAAAAGAAACAGATGTTTCACTGGTCCTTCACTGAAGCCAGATACTCTGAATCCAGCTTCTCCCAGGTTGGACAGAGCATTGTGAAGATCTTGGCATTTTCCATGAAGAACAGACATCAAAGTCGGGTTGCGTTCAATTTCTTCCAGAGATGCAATAGCAGCAGCTGTGAGCAATGGTGGGAGGGAAGCAGAAAAGCAGTACCCTGAAAATTTTAAACGAATTTTAATGAAAACTGTGCACCATAAGTGTAAAACAAAATGAATAAAATGGGAAAAATTAAAACAATTATTTATACCCAGTCCAGAGAGACGCTGATGCTCCACAATAAACGAGGATCCAACGCAGAACCCTCCAATGGAACCAAGAGCCCACTCCATGCTGCCCACAATGAGATCAACATCTTCACGCTGTAAAAAGATAAATAAAAAATCAACATAAAAACCCTCAAGATGTGGTCCTGATTATTTGCTTATGAAAAGTCAAATCGCACTGACATTGACATTGAAGTGTTCAGTGACTCCTCGGCCAGTCTCTCCAAGGGTTCCAAATGAAACATTTTCATCAAGAATTGTTCGGCACTTGAAGCGATGAGCCAAGTTTAACAGAGCAGGAAGAGGACAGATATTTCCAGTGTTCATGTATATGCCCTCCATTACCAGGAACTTTCTTGTGACTTTGGCTTTCCTCGGATTCTGGAAATTCCACCAAAAAGAAAAAAAAAAAAGATGGGTGAGTGCTGTGTGCAGGGAAGTGCCTAAGACCAAAACAGCAAGTGCCTGTACCATTTTGGCTTCATGCTCAAGCAACAACCTCTCCAAATCCTGCACATCATTATGTTTGAAATAGTAAATGCTACTCCTAGATGCATCTAAGCCCTTTTGGATCGCGAAGTTTGCCGCTTCATCCCTGGAGAATTATAAAATAGGAGATGATGACAATTTTAAAATGAAACAACAAAGAGCAGCAAGATTAATTAATCATTAAGTATTGGTTTAAAACAACATACACAAAGATAACATCACCACGCTTTGCATAAGCTGGAATAGCACTTGCAATTGTTGAGAAACCGTAGGCATAAACACAAGCTTCTTCCATGCCCATAAATTTAGCCAATTTTTCTTCCAATTCCAAGTGCACATCTAAACAAAAGAACAATGCAAATTAATATTAACAGGACAGTTCTATGAATATTGAATATTAAACAGTGTACTTGAACTGAGGATTTCTGAAAGAATGATTATTACATAGTGATAGACAAGTGACAAGTGACTCACCTACTGTCCCGTAGAAACCTCGAGGCCCACATGAACCAACACCATATTTTCGGATGCTTTGAATAGCCCGTTCCTCAACCTCTGGTTTGTCAGCAAAGCTCAAATAGTTGTGTGTGGCTAGATTCAAACAGTGATGACCATCAACGTCCAAGTAATGACCAGCCTGAAATATAAAATTCCATGAAACATACATGCCTAAAACAGAATAATTGAGGTGCACTACATTGTATGAAGCGATACCTTTCCAGTTACAACGTGAGGTTTGAGAGCTGGATGATCTTGTCGAGGAGTACTGACTAAAGGTTCTGGATTCCACTCCTCAATTAATCTATCTTCTTCCTGAAATACAAGTATAAAATAAGCTAATGAGGGCAATGAAAGTCTCGACGATGCACGTGAAGATGTGATCTACTTACCTCCTTTGACATAGAGTGAACATCACGTTTCTTGTAACTCTTCCGGAAAATAAACCATAACAATGAAGCAACAAGGAACCCTTCGAGGAAAAAGTGGAGTAATGAAGCCTGCAAAAGGAGAGATGTACAAGACACTTAGATATTGGGTTGTAAGAACATCATGCAAGCACCTCAAGTAAGTTTCACTTGCCTCTTTGATGCCACCGAGGAGCTCATCAATGTTAGTAGGTATCCAGTAAGTACCCATCGCAAAGAAACACTTCAGAGGGCGTGTCAACTTTCAACTGGAACGTTTTCACGTTGCGCTTAGGTTAGCACACTTTTGTTAATAACTACGTGCGAAGTATAATCACCGAACACCAGTGGCAGTCGAAGTAACAAAATAAATAACGTTTCAAGCTTTCACAGAAATAAAGTACAGACAACTTGATGTGATTTGCCACGACTAACAATCTTTAATCAATCATTTTTGATTGATAAGAGAATAAATAAAAGAAACAGACGATGACCTCAGCCACCGCCACTGCCTTCTCGAACTCGAACTAATCGAACATGAAAGGGGAGGGGTGGGGAAGGGAGGGGAGGGGGCACGGAAGTTCACTTACGCCGACAGCGCGGCAAAATTCAAAGTCATTCGCTTAGGAACAACTTAGAGTATAGGAAGTAAGAAACATGTCTGCCATTTTCTATTATTTAAAAATTTATTGCTTCATCAAATTGCTGAAGGTACACACACCTTAAATACCATTTTAAAACAACCAAAACAGGATGAACACTGCAACAATTTGCATAGCAAAAGGGAGATAAGAATGAAACCAGGAGTTGCATTGGAATTGAAGTTATGCAAAAAAAAAAAAAAAACACAGACCCGAATAATGTGTTAACAACATGCCTAAAACGAGTATGAATTCATAAATTGAAAATAAAAATAATTCACAGCCAAGGTCTGTTACTTCCACAAACAAGACCCACATCCCAGATAAAATATTATTACTATGACATATCGTTTAGATTGAGAAGTGTCCCCCTTCGACAAACAAAACCAGACATCATCGATTAAGATTTAGATGCAATGTTTGAATGCATATCTTGACTAGAGCAACATACAGGCTTATTTAGAAGAAATAAAATTATGTACAAAAGGGATTAAGTGCTCCAGTGGACCTTGATTCACAGTCTAAAATGGACTAGCTTCTTGTCTTGAAGCTGTTTAAAAGATAAGCAGTAAGACAAGTAAAAATACTAAAATTTTAATAAGGCCCATGGGCTACTTTCATTTTTATCATGACATATCAATACAAACTTGATAAACTATTACAATTGAGGGTTTACTGTTTATTTTCAAATGTAGACAGTCTTTGTCGGAGTTCCGCAATTTCTTGGTCCCTGGATGCAACAGCCTCTTTCAATAGTCGAATGGTTTCATCTTTTGAAGCCAACTGAGAATGAATGTCATGTTCCAAGAAAGCCCGCAACAAAGAATCTACACGTTGAAGAAGGTCACTTGCTGTTGGTCTTGCCATTGGAGATGAGGTAATCAAATCACTGATCAGTCTGGCCTAAAAAAAAGGCAGTTAAAAAATGACACCAAATCATATATCGGATCTAATCTTGATTGAATACTTACAGCATGAGGCCACATAGTTGTTAATTCTGATGGGAGCTGACCTGCTCTTAACTGGTGGATAACTTTACTTCTTTCCATATCAGTATGAAATGGTTGAAGCAGTTCAAGAAAAACAATGCCAAGACTGAACAAATCACTCTGGAACAGAAATCATAAATAATGAGGTGACATAATTTATTTTTAAGGATAAATGTGACATACCTCTGCCAAAAGAACAGAAGAAGAAAAAGAGGAGTGAGCAACATACCTTTGAAGAACATTTACCCCGTAATTGTTCTGGAGCTGCATACATTCTCGTCCCAACTTCTCCATGGTGTTCGCCTATGACACCTGTGCTATCAACTCTGCTGAGGATACAACACGATAATCCAAAGTCTCCTACTTGGACTTCTCTCAAGTTTGAATTTACAAAAATATTGCTGGGCTAGAAAATGAAAGTAAAAGGAAACATACATTATCATTATTAGCAATAATCTACGGTTTAAAAGATTAAAGAAAAAATTGTAGAAAATCTATCAAAGTTACTTTGATGTCATGATGAACTATGCCTTGGGCATGAATGTAATCAACACCTCTCACTATCTTTCGAAAAAGATTAAGAGCCAGATTTCCATCACTAGAATCAGGAGACAAAGGACAAGCTGGCAAAGAAGCATTCCTCACATCCAACCATTGTCTCAAAGTTCGTTCACATAACTGCATTTGAACATAAAGTGTTGCCCAATTTCTCTGAGGAAAGGAGTATACAAATGATGGATTAATAATAATACTTCAAAGCAATAAAAATAATTTTCAGAAAATCTGCAAATTTTTACTTACTACAGTAGTTGAGTTTTTTCTTTTAGTTTCTTTAGCATTCATGGGACACACTGCTGCTTTTCCTGAGGTACTACTTGAGCTTCCTGAATCACCACTACTCCCGAGTTGCAGAGATGAGTTGAGAGAATTGCTGTTGTCAGAGTTGGTTGATTCTGATGTCTCCAAGATGTTTGAAAGAGGATGACTTCCAGATTGCTTTGGTTTGACAACACTGCTGGGGACATTTTTATTTTTTGTATCAGAGGAAGACTCAAGGAATACAATATCGAGAGAATCATCAGCTGTTTCTGGACAAGCTTGAGGGAGAGGGAACCTGCAAGGGAGAAGGACACACTTTATTGATAGAAGCCAGCATCATCTAAGCATAGGTGAGATGGAAAATGGACATGTTCTTACCGAGAATCAGCATTTAAAGAAACTACAGACAAAGATGCTTCTTGAGACTCACTACTGGGAGAAGATCTGTGAGTTTTGGCAGTATCATCATCTAATGGCTCCAGCCAGGCAGCTTTGTATGATACAATATTAGGGTGGTTAAGTCGAGCAAGCATCTTCACTTCTTTAAGGCTTCTGAGGAATCCTTCCACATATCGGTACCTATGTTTGAAAGATTTTTCGTTAGGATCACCAAATACAGCAATGCTAAGGTCAGAATGGGCTCCATATGATATGACATGTTACCTGAGAAATATTTTTTTGATGGCATATTCACCACCGTCTAACTTATTCCGAGCTTTGTACACATGACCAAAGCCACCCTTTGCAATATATTCTAACTCATGGTATTCATGTTGGTAACGAGACCATTCTAAAACCTGTTCTGAGCTCATTTTAATGTCAACATTCATATTTGAGCTGGCAAGAAATAATACAAAACACAATTGTTAGAAAGATGTACAAAATCTCCATGTTAATTAATAATCACAGATAGTTTGTCTTTCCCAACCTTGGCAGTGGTAAAAGGATGTTCCGACCAGATGGTGACTGGGTTGATGATTTAGCTACAGCCAGTAGCTGATACAAAGCCTTCTGATAGTGACTTCGCATGAATTGGAATTCTTCAATGGTGTAAGTATCATCAATGAGTCGCATTTGATGAAGTCTTTCACATATGACTGTTGGCAATGAAGAAATTGAAAATATTTATGAAACAAAAACATGCTAAGGAGCAATAAAACAAACTTGGTCTGGATCAAACCTACCATGATACAGCTTTTTTTGCTTTCCACTGTCTTTCTCCATCAATTTACAAAGTTGATCAATCAAGGACTCAACAAGTAAACTTGTTGGGGAAAAACGAGTCAAACTTTGAACAGGAGTTGGTGTGCAGGGCCTCATGCTATCACTGGTAGGATTAACAGCACCAACATCACTCACAGTGCCGTTTCGATGTGAACTAGAGCTTACTGAAAAGTGACTAACTGGGTCCGCTGCAATACCATGAGGAAGGTGGCCTTCTGATAAACTATTACTTTGGCTTCTACGTCTCGTTCTTCTGTGTTTTTGAGTTGGCTTGGGCACCTCTTTGGCAGCAGATTCTGAGTCTTTGAGTGGCAGTATAGGTACATCTTGGAATGGAGATGAGAGGACCTCAATGTGTTCTGATCTAAGGCATCCTTCAATTTTTGAGCAAGAGGAAGCTCTTGTCTCTATATTCTTATTGTTGATTTTAATACCACCTAAGTCAGCTTTTTGACACAAACATTCATTATTGGATGTCTGGTTCTCACTTTGGGAATGGTACTGTTCCCTTGAACATGTTTGAGTTGAGAAGTCTGAATAAAAGTAAGACGTCTTGTTATAAAAGTCTTGAAAGTCAAGAGAAAAAAAAGACCAACAGAAAAATTTAATACCTGAATTAAATGTGGTTATAGTTTTCAAATGAAACCAGGTATTGCTATTGCTTGCAGAGATTTCATTCATATTTGAATCAGGGGGCTCTTCGGAACTTCCTGAAACTGGACATTCATTGCTTTCCTGGTTCCCATCCATTGTTTCGACCGTCTGCAATGAACACAGAGGATAAACATAGCAAAGTTAAATTATAACAGTGGGCAAGAATAAATGTAGACAAAGGAATACGCAGAAGAAATACAAGTTCTCAATAGAAAACTCTAGAAACATTTAAACAGTAAAAACTAAATGCCAGTATGGCAATAAAATGGTAAGTGTACGGAGTCACAAGCATCAATGACACTAAACATCAACATTTCATACATAATTATACAATAGGATGCATTTTAAAAACTGACTCCAGACGACGATAACAGGTCGTAGATCCTGTACACTAAGGCCCATAACCTTAAAATCACCCATACGTACCACTTCTCAAGGAAAATGAGCGAATCATAAAGACATTTATGAGGCGCTACAGGGATGATGAAGGAAACATGAACAAATCCGATGGCCTCACTATGACTGTTAAAAACGTTGAACCATTTAAGGTGAGAAAATAGGTAGGGAAGGTTGCAACACACAACGATTCAGTGGTTATGGTAGGAAAGCGAACCTTCGCGCTGACGGTGGCGGAAACAAAACGCAGTGCATGTCGGCTCCCTTCTGATTGGCTGCCTCGACCCATAATGCACTGCGGCCACAACCGGTCGCGGAACCGCCTGTCTTCGCCGACCAATCACAAGCGTCCTGGGGGCGGGGGTGGGGGTTACGGTGTGGTGCTCTCATACGGAAGCTTCTCCCTCCCAATATGCGTTTTTGCACCGCGGAGCCAAGTTTCCATTGACAAATTCTGCATGGTGTTCCAGGATTTCCCTCGATATTTTGTTGTTTACGGCTAGAATTAGCATTCGTGTGACGAAATTCGCCAGGATTTGCGGAATACCTGCAGTATTCTACGTAGCTCAAGGCTAGAAATGTGCATCTCTTGCAGTCGCCATTTTGACCAGTCGACGAAAAGTGGCCAAATTGGAGGGCTGAAAAGTGGAGAAACGTGTCTTTAAAGGGCCAAATTGAGCCCGGCGTGAAAACAGCGAGTCCAAGCAAACAAGTGTCCAAGATGAGCCAGCAAGGGAACACCGTCAATCACTTCATCCGCGGTGAGTTCCGAGGCTATGCCTCCGCGCCCGGAGTAGCTTGCCACGATGAGATTTTGAACTTGAATTTGAAACGGTCCTCTCAATAACTCCTTGTTTGTACGCGGACGTCACGCGCGCGAGTCTCACCGGGGTGTTGCGACGTCGGATTTGGCCACCTACACGATTCAGTATTTTGAAGTCGGTGATGCTAGACGCTAACCTCTCCTATCGGCAATCTGCAGTGACTCTGTCTGTAAGCTCCGTCGCCAGTGGGGTACTCGGTGCGCGGCTCCAAAATTTCGAGCAAGATCTCGGTCCGCGCCGATGGGAGCCTAGTCAGCACGGGCTGGTCATTTTATTGGGACCTGATCGGCTCTCTTGATTCCCTCTGGACCGAATTCTTTGTTTTTATGGTGGTGTCTGGGCCGAGGCCAACTCGGTGTCCCTGTCCCACGTACGCCCATCCAATGCCAATGCCGTGTTTGTGCTAGCGCTGCCGGACTAGGGACAAGCGGTCGTCGTTTCCACTACCCACCCTCCATCGCCTCGGTCCAGTTTCAATCTTTCTCGGTGCGACGGGGCGGTCCACGAACGCGTGTGCCCCAAGCTCGCTCGACCACCCTCCCCTGTACTTAGGCCCTTTTTTGGGCCTGCATTGAAGATGGAGGTTACAGGAGCTCTCCCCTCTAGAGTCTTGCCAGGTTTGCTGTCTACTTATTTACTGAAAGAGTCACCTCTATTTGTCTAAAACACAGAGATGTTTATAGTTTTTAATTGTTGATTTTGCTTTATCGGTACCTTTTAATGGAGGTTATGTGATGCTGCCAAGTGATGCTGATAAATCATTTGTCTACGAGAATCTTATCTTGTACTTCCAGGAGGAAGTAATGACATTGCATGGATCATTTATTGTTACTAGTTTTACCTTCTGTTTGTTTCAGGCCAACCCCAAGTTATCAAGTTGGCTGCCAGTCCTGCTCAGAAAGGAATCATAAATGTCTTGTCGAATCCAGGCGTCCGTGCCATTTTCAAAACTCCATCACAGGATGGCCAGGTAAGCTTTATTTTACCTGCCAAAAATAGCTTTTTCAATCCTAGAAAACATTAAGCAAGTTACCACGACTTGGGGGGCTGTTTAAATGATAAATAACTCCAAGACTGCAGAGCTATTCATCCAGTACCAATATGAATGCATGTTTACAGTTTGCCTCATCTGTTGTGAGAGGAGTTGTTGTTGGTGTAGTGAGTATGGTTGTGGTTGTGAAGAGGGAGGGGGGGTCCTTATCTAGCAACCCACTTCAACTGTGTTTAATCAGGCTTCGGGCATTCACTCACTGATGGCACTTCTACAAATTCGGTGTGTCACTACATGGAGTTGCAAAGGAAGGGGTGTGTCATGCTTCAGTTCAATCATGATGACTTCATTGTTGTCAATATGTGTTACATTTGTAAAGTGCTTTTCTTTTTGTTTTATTTTCTCATTTTTTTTTGTTTTTGTTTTCTTTGAGTTGATTACTGGTCGGACGGTGAGGCGAGCCGGTGCCTGGACAGTTAATGACTAGTGGCGCGGCCTCGCGGCCCGAAGCCCTCCTCATGGTGGCGCTAGGCGTTCCCCGCGGACCTCGCGACCTCGGCCAGATGGCGAATGAATGACCCTCGGGGTCGCGAATGAGAATGAATGGCCTTGGCTTCGCCGGGCTTCGCCTTGGCTGGATCGTGTTTATCGTGTGCCGTCGTGGTGGAGTCTGCCTCAGGCGGCCTTGGTCCTTGTCGCCTCCAAGCTCCAGGCCACGGCGGAGAGGAGGCCTTCGGCAGCCTGCGGACAGGCGGGGCTCCGGGAAGCACCACGGCGTCCGCGGGCTGTGTCCGCGGGACCTTGCGCTGGCACTCCGTGCACTACGCGGCCTGCCAGGGCCTGCCCGCGGCGTGGCGTGGAGCGGCGTGGCGTCATCGCGTCCCTGAAAATGGGTCGCGGGCACGCGGGCGCGGATCCGCGGCGCGCCCGGCCCTCGCCAGGCTAGCCGGCCCGCCTGCCGTCTGCGCGCCTCTAGGTCTTCAATGCCCCCCGAGGTGTCGCTGCGCACACTGAGTCTCTCTCTCGCACCTGCACGGGACGGCCTTCGAGTGCGAGAGGGACAATGGGCGCGGGGGCCTCGGGGTCGGGGGCCGCAGGGGCCGCTGGCGAAGGGGCGGCCCTTCCGAGCCCCGCGCTGCCCCGCGCCGGGGAAGTGGCCAAGTCGGCGCGGTCCGCGCGGTCGGCTCTAGGCGGCGCGCTGTCAAACGTCGCGCAGGGTTAGGCCCTCTAGGCGACGCTGCTGCGCTGCCCTGCCTTCCTCCCCTCCCGGCCGTTTTATTGGCGACAACGAACGGTGCCGTGCAAACCGCACCGCGTAGATGGCCGCGGACAGTCGCGGTGCCGCGGTGAACGCGCTGGCGCGCTTCTTGCCGCCGCGTCCCAAATGGCGGGAAAAGCTGGGGGACCGCGCCGTGGCGAGCCGCGCCAACCGCGCGCCGCGTTCGCCGCGTCCGCCCCCCACTCCGCGGCCTGTGCACGGCCGAGCGAGCGGCTCCTCCCCTTGGCTCCTTTTGAATCGGTTTCCCGCCGGTTCGGCTGGGCTCCCCCTCCCCGCCCCCACCCCCGCTCCACGCGTATCCGTCCGAGGCGTGTGTGCGCGCGGTCGTTGCGTACGGCGAGGCATGCGAGGCGGCGGCTGGCTGACCTGGCGACCCCCGATGCCTCCGAGGTGGAGGCCCCTGTGGCCGGCCAGGCCTGCCCAGGATGTTGAGGGCGCGCTCTGGGTCGGCTAGGGTGTTCCCTGCCGAGGCGATTCAGAAGGGTCGTTTGGTCGCTCTGTCTCCGTCGCACTCGTGGGACTCTCCCTAAGGGTTTGAGAGAGACGGAACGACGAACTGATCGGCCGGGCTGGGAGGCCTGGGTGATGACTCTCTCCAGCTGGATGTTGTCTAGCTGCGCGAGGTGCGGGCCTGGTGCGGGCCTGGTGCAGGCTGCGCGCTGCACTGGGTACCTGTTCGGGTACCTGGCTACCTGTGGCGCCCCGCGTCTCCCCCCGCGCCCCGCCCTGCGGCCCTGCGGCCAGCCTTATGCCGCATTATGTATGTCTATTGATCGCACCGCTCGCTGCCTCGTGACCCCTTCTCTTTTTCCGTTTTGGTTTCCCTGCCGTGTTGCTGCCGAGACGGGCGGAGGCGGCCAGCACCGCGGCCAGCGCTGGTGGTTGACCCGCCGCCTGCAGCTTGAGCAGCTTGAGCCGTGTGTCGGGCCACGTTGGGCCACTGCTTGGTGTGGCCGGGAACGCCGGCCGGGGAGGGGGCGGGGAATGCAACAAGGCCATTCTCCCCGGCGCCCTTTTTTGCCCCTTCCCCCTCGGGGCCCTCAGGGCTCGGAGCTCTCCCGCGGCGACGACGACGACGCTCTGCTGCCCGGCCAGGAGTCGTGTCGTCGACGGCCGCCCCGTGAGTGCGACAGAGACAGAACGACGAAGAAGCGCTTCTTCGTTCTGCTGCATCCACCCTCCTCCCAAAAAAGAGCGCCTCCCAGGGCTCCGAGTGAGTGCAGTGCGGGCGCCGCGCGGCCCGTGCCTTGGGTCCGCGTCGCGTCTGGCGACTACACTAGAAGCGAAACCGCACTGGAAGAGAAACGCGTCGCGGGCCGCGGATTTGAACCCGGGGCCGTCCGCGAGCTGGTCGTGCTGGCCGCTGAGGGCGTCGGCCCGTGGCGGGGCTGACTGCCGGGGCGGCCTAAAGGCCGGGGCACGTGGACGTAGAGCGGCAGCGTCGCATCGGGATCCGTTGGAAAGGAAAAGTGGGGAGGGAGCGATGCGAAGCCGGCGAAGCGGGCCAAGACGGCCAAGCCAAGACACTGCAGCTGCCCTGTGGCTTGGCCGGCTTGGCCTGGCACCGGCCGGGCCGTGTGCGGTGCACGCCGTGCACGGTGCTGCACTCCAGGACCGGACCCGGCTCGGGCGGACGCAGGCGGACGCCACTGGAGTGACTCCAGGACCGGGTACCGCCCGTGCAGCCCCTCCCCCTCACCCCGCTCCTCTACATACCACGGTACTCGCTTTTCGGCGGCGGTGCTGCGGTGCCCCGTTGCCGATGCTGCATTGGCGTCCTGGGGGGGAGGGGAGGGGCCTTTGGCTGCGCTGCCGTCGCTGCCGCAGTCCGCCAGCGCTTCGAACAGCCCCGGGTTCGAGTACTACGGGCGGGTTGACCTTTTGCCCGGCCGCAAGTCGAGCGGTAGTTGAACCGTTGGCAGTGGGCTGGGTCGGCGCAAGCGCGGCGTAGCGCGGCCCCCGGGGCCCCGGACCGGAACAACATGTGATGAGAGAATGGTGTGCAGGGGGCACGGCGGGCACGGTCGCACCGCTGGGCGCCCTGGCAGTCCTGGCGCGGGGACTTCCTTTGCAGCTTGGAGTGCCTGGAGCCCTCCAGTGGCCACGCCGCCACGCCCCGTCCCTTCAGGTGGCCCTCGTGGCCCTCTTGCTACTGTAGCCGGAAGTGGCCCCCAGGCGGAGGCCGCGTAGTCCCTCCCTCCCTCCCCATTTTGTGCTGCCGGATCTCGCCCATTCCCTTGTACATGTTTCCGCACACCGCGGGGAAAAGTTTGGCCCGAAATTCGGCCGCCGGGACGCCTAGTCCCAAAGTTGTTTGTTGGATGCCGTGAGTCTCCGAGGGTGAATGACACCGCCTGGAGCCCGACGATAAGTCTGCGGGTTTGGAGCGCTAGCTTGGTGCGCAGGGCGTCCCGTCCGTGCTTGGTCCGGCTGGAGCGGCTGGAGCTGGGGCGCACGGCACGGCATGCCGGCTGCGCTGGAGGCAAGCTGGAGGCAAGCTGGAGGCGGAGGCCAGGCCGTCGTTCCACGCGTTCCCTGTTCCATTCCATGCCGAGCCGCACCGCGCCACGCCGTGGTCGTCCCGCGCTCGCCGCCCCCCACTCCCGCCACCCTCCACCCTCCCCTCGTGCGGGCTGGGGGCGGGGAGGGCGCTCGAAGCTAGCAGGTCGGGGGCGTGGCCGGCGTGGCGGTCCGGGGAAGGGGGTGAGGCCGGGTTACGCTAGCTTGGCCGGGCCCCGCTCGGCTCAGCCCCGCGCAAGGCCGGGTTGGCCTAGTCAGCTGACTGGCCGGCGATGGGCGCGGCGAGGCGTCGCGACGCCGCAGCGCCGCCGCTTCCTCCGGCCGGCCGGGCGTGCTTCGCGTCGTCGTCGGCGTCGGCTCCTCCTAGTGTGCGTGGGCCTCGCGGCGCGCTGGCGCTGTCGGGTCCTCGGCGGCGTGGCCGGCGTGGCGCATGTGGGGTGGCGCAGCTAGCGCAGCTAGCGCAGCCCGGCGTCAAGGCCGGCGCGGTCCGCGGCTATCGAGTTTTGGGAGCGAAGCGTCGCACAGGGTCACGCACGCCGTCCGAGGTGGGCGTCGTGGGGCCGGGGCTGGACTCTGGCGCTCTGGAAAGGTCACCGCACGTGCTCTGCGCCACGACCCCGATCGGGTGTTGGCGGTGTCCCGGTGCATGACGGCGTACCGGACCATGACGCGGGCCCTCTTCCCGTTCCCAACCCGCGACGCCGCGACCAAACCACACTCGGCCAGAGAAACGGAAACACGACCTAACCTCGCGAAGCTGCTCGTGCCTCTCTTTCGCCCCGACGTCTCGCAGACTCTCCAGTCCCTCGCGGAGTGCCGCGGAAGACACTCCGCGAGCGAGGGACTCTGCCCTGACGGTTCCGGCGGGCAAAGTGCGCGGAGTATTGACAGTGTGCGCGGTTGCCAGGGCCGTTAGCGCCGCGGCGGCCGACTCATGGCCTCTGCGGCGACATGGCGGCGGCCAGGAACTAACGACCTCCGCTAATGGCAGCGGTTGTCACGTTTATTCCAGCGCGTCGCCGCGTCGCGCACGAGACGGAGGGCCCGGCCGGCACGGCGCCTAGGCCCGGGTTCGATCCCCGCCGGGGCGCGTTCGGACTTCCCTCGCGCTTTGGCGCTACCGCTTGCTACCGCTACTCGCCCCTCCCGGTTTCTTTCCTCTGCCGTTGTTTTGGCGTGGGCCCAAATGCGCCGCGATGCGCCGCGCTATGGCCCGCTGGCCCGCCTGGCGTGGGGCCTGCAGGCCTGCAGGACTGTACGGCCCGACCGGCCCGACCTGCCGCCAGCGCTAGGCGGCTCCACCTTGCACTTGTTCATTTATTAGGCTTTGCCGGCGCGCACACACACATGAATACGAATTCACTCACACAGTGACTAACACATTACACATGCAGGGAGGCGCGCCGGCATATCGGTGGGCGTGTGTGTGTGTGTGGGCGCGGCGTGCACGGCCGTGTGTTGCATCTGGCGATGCCACGGCGGTGTGCCCCTGGCGGCCTGTAGGCCATGCAGGCCGTGCAGGCGGCCAGGACTTGCCTCGCCACTCGATAGGGCGGTTGGGGGCGCGGCGCACCAAGGGCCTACACTACAGGGCCGAGGCTCCGCGAGGCTCGCAGTGCCGCCTGGTCTGCCTGGTGGCGTCGTGCACGTGCAGCACGGGCCGTGGGCTGGGCCGTGGCCGTGCCGCCGTGCCGCGGGCAGCACCGCAGTTGCCGCTGTGAGCTCGCTGGGTCCGCTGCCCTCGGTCCCTCGCCGCTAGTGCTATCGTCAGCCGCCCTGGCCCTGCCGCCGGGCTCGGCAGCTCGGCGCTCCGCCCCGCCTCGACAGCCTCGACGCGCCTAGAGCGCCGTCCCGGCCGTCCCGGTCGTCGCGGTCATGTCCCTCGTCATGCCTCCGCCCCCGAGGCCGGCGCCTTCCGCGCCCCGCGGCCCGCACAGTGTTGGCGCCACGGCCGCGATGAGTGTCGTGGCGGCGTCGGGCAAGGCGGGCAAGGCCCCGCAGAGGACGGTCGTCGTCGTGCCCGCCACCAGCAGGACCATGTCGACGACGGCGACCGCCGCCAGGGGATCCCCGGCTCCGCTGGGCAAGGTGCGCCGTGGAGGTTGTGGTGGAACATGACGGGCGCTGGGTTGGGTCGGTCGCCTGCTCCATAGCGTGACGACAGTGACGTTGCCTGCTGCGCTGCTGCGTCGCAGTTTGGAGGTTATGTCGATCCAGAGTGGCCTCCCCTGGCAGGACCCCCTTTAGTTTTACCGATCTTTCGCCACTCGCCGCGGAGGAGGCACTTGGTGCTTGTGGAGAGATACTAGGATGGCCATCTCTGGTGGATGACCAAGTCATTGGGTTTCATTGATTCATTTCGTCAGGCAATTCATTATTGCATGAGGTTTGAATGGCATGTGCACTGTTTTACTTTTATGAAGCCCTGAATTCATTTGGGTTTAATTTTATTTGTTCTCAGGTCCCTACGATGTTGGCGAATGGTCAGATCATCAGAACGTTAAATTTAGGGAAACAAACTGGACAGAGTAAGTTTGGCTTTGGAAATACTTGTTAGTTGCAGTAAGTTTGTTTTGCTACATGTTCTAATTCTGTTAATTGTTTGCGTAGGCCCCAGGGTTATGACTCTCCATCCTGTCCAAGGCAGCCCCATGAAGGTGATGAGTAGTATTCCAAAAACCATCACTCTCACACCAGCACAAATGGTAAAAATTTAGTTTCCTTACATCACCCTCAATTCTTACTCTCTGGCACTGGAATTAATTTTGTTTTCCTTTCTTCCTCTCAAGCAAATGTTGACAAGCCAACAACGGATAGTTAGTACCAACATTTCACATACATCAGCCAATGTAATACAAACCCAAGCACCAATCCAGCAACAGCAAACACAAGTAGTTCAATCCCACCAGGCATCGCCATCAACAGTGCAACAAATCCAGCAGCAATCAAATAAGAGTTACATTTCCCCAATCCTTGACCACAGTGGCTCTCGGAAACGGCAGGAAATTGAACCTGATCACATGCCAGCATAGTATGTGTCTCTACCTTATCCAAATTCTGTTATGTTCTGCTTTGTCAGTTATTCTTACTATCACTCTTACTTACAGCAAAAGAAGGAAATCAGACAAGGTAGGCAAAGGCCTGCGACACTTTTCCATGAAAGTATGTGAAAAAGTACGGAAGAAAGGAACTACCACTTACAATGAAGTGGCTGATGAACTTGTTGCTGAGTTTACTAACCCTAGTAATGTCCAGATAAATTCGCCATCAGATCAGGTTGGTTGCATGATCTTACAAGTAACAAGTTCCTTAAATTGTGTATGCAGTAGTACTAATATCAATTCCATTGCAGTATGATCAGAAGAATATTAGGCGGAGAGTATATGATGCCTTAAATGTACTTATGGCTATGAACATAATTGCCAAGGAGAAGAAGGAAATTCGGTGGTTAGGTCTGCCTACAAACTCCGTCCAGGAGTGCACTGCACTGGAACGGGACAAGCATCTTATTGGGGAGAGAATCAAACAGAAAACTCAACAGTTATATGAGTTGATTCTTCAGGTACTTACTCTCTGTGCACCCTTCATTTTGTTTGTGTGTGAAATGCCACAAAACCTTGTTCTTATTAACTGTTGTGTGGTTGTTTTTGTTTTTTTAGCAAATTTCTTTTAAGAATCTTGTTGAACGAAACAGAGGGCAAGAAAGCAAATATGGAGTGCCTGCCCCGAACACAGCAATCCAACTTCCATTCATCATTGTTAATACCAGCAAGAAGACAGTTATTGATTGTCGCATTTCCAATGACAAGTAAGTATTTATCAAATGATTTGTGCTAGTGAGTGTTGCTGTAGAACCTTTTTCTTAAAGTATGTTTGTCACGGCAGGATGGAATACCTCTTCAATTTTGATGACAAATTTGAGATCCATGATGATATTGAAGTTTTGAAAAGAATGGGCATGGTTCTTGGTAAGTGCTTTAGTATATATACTTATATATATATATATTTATAATTTTCACACTAGGAAACTGGTTGGTCATTAGCAATCATCTTGTTTCTTGTTACCCAGGCCTGGACAAGGGAGAATGTACTCCAGCAGAACTACAGAAGGCAAAAAGCATGGTACCTCGGGCATTGGAGAACTACGTTGTTCGTAAGTGTCAACTTGGTACATGCACAATATCGGCTATTTTAATCTAGAACTCTATGTACTGATTAATTTATTGTTGTTTCAGAACTAGCTCATGGAAACACAGAGCCGGATTTGCCTGAATTATCAGCTGGTCCGAGCTCTTCGTCTGTCAATGCATCATATCTGGTTGATGACTTTGACTCTCAGATGGGTCTCTCTCGGCACTCTTCGCACACCGACCTCTCTGAAGAACCTCTTTCCCCGTCTCTCGAAGCATACTCTGATGATGACTCTGAAATGTCAAGTGATGTGGAAATTCATTAGGGTTGTTTGTGAAGGATACTCTTTTGCAAAGACTTTCTAGGGTTTGTGAAAGAACCCAGGCAGGAGCCATGCAAAAAAATACTGCTTGGAGTTTCTTGTCCTTGTGTTTTAGACTCTCACACGTCTTTAAACTTGGCCTGATGCCGCCCATTCGGACTTAAATTAGGTGTCAGCCAAAGAAAAGTGAAGAAACCTTGTGCATCTATGGAAGAGATGGTTTGCTGTGTGTGAAATAACATGTTCCCGAGCTGTTATTTTGCTGTGAAGTGCAATATGAAGACAGTATTTGATTATGATTATTAATACCAAGTCATCTGCAAGAAATATATTCTTTCTTGTGTTACTTTCTGATAAGCTCAGTGCTTATTCGTTCTTTTTTTTTAATTGAACTCTGTAAACTTGTTAATGGAAAGAACAACTAGAGGAGCAGTTGAGCAGAAGCCTTCTTCTAGACAATAAGTTCTACTGACAAATTGTATGATAAAAAGAAAACTATAGCTAGTTTGTTTCCAGGGGATCTTGGAATTGAAAACCCCTTGTCACAATTAGTATTTCGGTGGTTTGCTTGTGGTGTTGTGATGTGTCCATTTACTGTCTGAGTGCATGTTTCTGTGTTCAGAAGGTGATGTCCATGTCACTCCAGTGAATGTGAAGCTTGTCGAAGTGTATGTATTTGTGACCGATTGGATGTCCTACAGCTAGCTGTATTAGTTCTTTAATATGGCAGCTGTGTAGAACTGTAATCATCTCTCAGAGATGTGGAAGGGCAATCATGTACAGAACAACAAGTGCCTGAGATTGTGCAACTATGAACTTAAAATGCATTCATCGTCTTAACTCACCTCAAGCTGTGTTGCCCTTTGACATTTGTGTATTTCTTTCATTTCTGATGAACTCTCATCATGTTCTATTTTTATGAAATGTAAAATGTAATGTTTTAGGCTTTATAGAAGTACATTGCAAATGCACTGGTTCTTACCTTTCTAGATTATTCAGTTCACTGTAGTTCTAATTAACTACTTGCTCTCATGGAAAAAATGGATTTATCTATCTTTTAATGGAATTGAGTCAAATGATGCATGTTCTCATCATAAATGAATCATTAAAGCTTATAAATGTGTATATATTTAAAGCAGTTTTATGCTTTACTTAATCTTAACTTTCTATTTCAATTTTTTTAAATGTGTGTGTAACATAGCAAGTCCCTGTAGATATACCTTTTAAGGTTCGTAAAATGAAATGTTCTCTTGGTGTTGTTCTGGAGCCGCCTGTTGGATCTCAGTTCTTTCCATAGGACACAAGACTGAGGATTTCTGTTAAGTTACAAAAGAGGAAGTTGATGATGATGTTCTCTTGACACTAATTGCAAGTTTTAATACCATCTGTATGGAGAAAATCTTGATTCTTTGTCAGTCTTGTAACTTTCTTCTTGTGAAATTACAACCTATTTTTGAGAAAGTTAGCCCCTCTGTTGGACACAGTATCACCAAATGCTGTTTTGTGTCTCAAAGTTTTTTCCCATTGTATCTTCAATTTTCTTTTTATCTGTCCTGTTTTTCCTACATTGCAAATGCTCTTTGGATTGTATTTTCAATGCATCTTAGTAACATGATATGACAGTGTTGCAAGTTACTATAGTGCTAATGTAGTTCTCGTTCTCAGTGCCTTTTGTGGCCCTGCTCCCCTTAACGTGTTCAAGAGAGGGCTGAGTGGCAATTGTTAATATTTTGTAGAAAACTTAAAGGAAACAAAACATTAGTGTGTACAAAGACATAATTTTTGAAGTTAGGTAGGTAGTTGAATCTTCACCAAGATAAAGGGAACTGTGGTTCTAATACTTATGTACAAATTTAAGCCTCAAGGAATGCCTTCTGGAGATGAATCAGGGTAATGTCTCTTACGCCATTGTTAAAGGAAGACTTGTTTAAGTAGCTATTTTCTGTTCAATCACAACTTATCAAAAGTATGGAGTCTCGTTTTACTATTTTGATCCACTAGTCACATAACCTAAACTTCAAGTTAGTGTTTTATTTTACTTTTAACTTTCCTTTTGTAGCATTTTACTCTTAGTGTGGCAGATGTTTGAATTAATCTGTTCTGTTGAGCCGAGCTTATTGTACAAGGAAACCTTGCTTCCATTGAGCAGACCAGGGTATTTGATATTGTCACTAACATTGGGTAGAAGGATTCCCGACGACTTTATCTTTACAATGTTTCAGTTGCAGGTATTACTGTACTGCGGAATTCTGTTTTTGTTAGATGCGGTTTGTGTATTTTGAGAACAAGTACTTGAAAGTAAATGTTTTGAAAGATAATTTTTCTTCTTTTTGTCCTTTTCTTAATTATGGAACATCTAATTGGATTAGATACTTATATTTTGATAAAGTTTATTTGGTAAACAGAAATTGCCATCCTTCATGACGAAAAGAATGAAGTGGGGAGGGGTTTGAGACCAAGTACTGCTGTTTTGACCAAATTTCAGAGGAGACCGTGAATAAATGAAGCTCCCTTCCTGTTTTTGAGGATCTCACCTGATGCTATTTTGACACTGAAGGCATTGTGTCCTTAGAAAGGGCAATAACTAGTGTAGATATCGTATTTACTGGTGGACTATTTGCATCATTAGAGACAAGAGAATGGTTTATTACTATAATAATGTGAGCACTTCTATTGTTACCCATTGTACTGAGTAGTATAGTGACTTTCATCATGCCTTGAAGTATGAAGTTCATGTTACTTCTGAAGCGAAATAAACCAACAAATAGGAACACCTAGGCTTATGATTAGCATTTTAGATTTTCAGTCGAAATGCATTTCAGTTAATTATGTTTACCTACTGATTTAAGCAGGAATCATTTGTACAGTTTGTTGTTGCTTATTTCAACTAGAATGTATTTTGTTAACTCTCTTTGTACTTGGCCTGTGGCCACTAAGCTTCTTTCATGTGTTGGGATTGTCATCCCAATCTGCCTTTTTTTTCCCCCTCTTTTGTTCAACTCTGGTCCATTGTACATTGTAATGATACCTTCTATCCCTTTTATTGGCCATTTCTTTTTCTTGTTATCCATGGAACACTCACTGTTTAGAACCAAATACTGAAATACAGTATTTATATTTAAACTCGTGTGTTACTACCCTATCACATCACTTCCATCATTTCATCAGGTTGGGAATAAGCTCCAGTCAGAAGTAAGTCACCAGTTTATGGGGCATCCTCTGTTGTATCATCAATGTGTTTCTGATTTGGATCATGGATCTTCTGAGAGGAAAATAATGAGACAAGGAAAAATTCCACAAAACGTCATCAGGCAAAAATATTTTATTGCTCAGTTAAATATGTGGTCATTAGCTCCTGAATATTTTCATTTTAATGCATGATGAACAAACACAAATGTAGGCCAAATCAAAACACTGCAATGGAAGGAAACTCTCCTCTTTGCCCTGTGAACCTAATAGTGATTTGTTATCAATCAACAAGATAAATATGCAAAGAAAAAGAAACACCAGATCACAATAATTACAACAATAATAATACAACAACAAAAATAACAATAATAATAAAACAATGGAGCAAAACAAGTAACAATGCTCAAGAAACATTATGAACATAAAAAGATGAAAAGAGAATTAAACTTTGGTCTGGCTGTATCAAATCATTTCATAATTACGGTATCAATACAGTGTCTACAAAATTGATCATAATGACCATACTACCCTAGACTAAGTCCTGTGCTGCTTGCAGGTTGCTAATTTTGATTTTAATTTCCTTTAAAGACTAGAGAAAACTAAAAGAAGACTAAAAAAAGGCACAGGGCATTATTTTCACCGTCACAATAAGTACAGAATAACAATGGCACTATACACAATAGATGTGTCAACTATGAGCTTTGGGGATAGTCACACTCAGTAGACCACTTAAAACCTCAAAGTGTAAATACTATATGATAAATCAGTCTTATAAAAAGTACACATTAGAGAAAAGCAGTGACACTCTGGAAGAAAACACCATAGAAGAAGAGAATAAGATGAAATTTTAAAAAATAAGTGGAAGTACAATTTGATTACAGATCAAGTCAAAAGAAACAGAAATAAAGTTTCATTGGAAGCGCCAACTTGATTTGATAATAAAATAATGATAAATATCAATCTGATTTCACACTAAGAAATTAACTCTTAGAAACATCAAGAAATACTGTAGACAGTACAAATACATTGTAAAAGATAAGGTCTTAACAAAGTTTGATAAGGCTTACATAACACATTACACTTGTCAAAAACATTGCAATATAAGGAAAGAAAACAATGAGTGCTGGTAAGATGTTCAATTGAAGCCTACATTACTTACGAGTCTGCATACGGGTGAAGATAATTCGCAGGCACAAAGCCCTTATTTTCGTACCTGTCTTCAACATACCACCATTCTTCATTTCCTTTCAGATCTTTCATTTTCAAAACTTTCACAACCTGACCACATTTCACAGGCAAAGTTTGATTACCCATTCCATCAAAATCATACAAACAGTAGTAGAACTGAAAGAGAGAAAATGATTTAGTTTATTTACAGCAAAAACAATTTAATTTTTTAAACCATCATATTGAAAATCTGTTGGATAACAGAAAGCAGGAGGCATCAATGGAATACTACAATAATATGTTGATGAACACATTGAAAGCACATTGACAAGCCTTACCTCAGATTCACATGATGAATCAAGATCATCAGGGGTTTCAATTTCATTTACAGTCTGCAAAACAATGAAAGCAGAGAACTAGAGTTTAAACATTCAAAGAAGGAAAATTCACAATGAACAAGATGCAGATAGACTTTTGTAGACAAAGCAAACAATGAATGCACATAGAAAGCAGCCAATCTTGTACAGTCTTAAAGAGTGTGGATAAATGAGGACGTGCGAGGAGCCGAAGGAAGAAATGTTTATGGAAAACATAGTACATACTTGTATCTGTTCATAAGTATTATCAACATCTGTATTAGGAACTTCATCATAGCGGTGAACTGTTTCAGAATGCACTTCATCGTACAAGTTAGAAGAGTTTGAGGTCCCAGTCACTTCCTCATAAGATGGAGGCAAATTCCCTGCTTGGGAAGGTGCAGGCTGTTTAGCAGATGTTTTCCGAGGAGGAAGAGACTGACGCGGGCTGTGGTCTGAATCACTAGACCTACACAAGATAATGCATTTAATCAGTACAACAAAAGTAAAAACACAAAACAACATATTATCGATCAAAGATAGAAACCTTCTGCTTAAGGCTGAGTCAGGGCGTAATTTGTTGGGAGAAGGTGTGGCACAAGAGCTGATGCTTGAATTATTGCTTGAAGATGGGGATAAAGAATGTCTGTTTGCTGCAGGAGCAGGCTCCAGACAATTCTGTCGAACAAATCCTTGAGCCCCTAAACAAAAAGAGAAGTTCAAAAATTAATTGTTATGAAGCATATATGAATTTTCAATTGAAAAATTATGCTGACTATCTACCTCCATTGTCCACAAACCAACTAGTGGAGTTTCCCATTGGATCTTGTTTTTTTATGACAGCCACTAAATGGCCTGTGCTAATAGAAAGATCTAAAGGGCCAGCTGCCACATGATCCTTGACTACACAGTACAGCTTGTCTGAAGGATATTTACTTTGGAGGAAAGCCCGTTGACTAGTACTTTGACTCAACTGAAACAGAAAAGTTTAATACAGTAGAGTGCAAATTTTGTACAGAAAAGGCTTTTAACAACAATAACCAACCTTCTGACCATCTGTCCCCAACTGTCTAGCTGGAGTGGGCGATGTTTTCAGAGATTTCCTATTATTACCTCCCGATTCTTTAAATGATTTAGTGCAGAAACTGAGACGCCCCAACTGATTGCAAACTAGGTAATGTTTTACAGCAAAAGCTTCAATTGCGTCTCCAGAAGCCAAGGATAATGATGGAATCTTCACAAGCAAAAAACAAACAAACAAACAAAAAACATAACTTAATGAGTGGATCAGGAAGAAGATTAAAAGAAAGTTATTTTAAGAGAGGTACCTCCATGAGATTTAAATACTGCTTTGTTATTTTTCCAGAAAATAATTTTTGTGCAGCTAACAATGCTGACAAACACTCAACAAGAATTTCAGTGCTTGATTCAATCAGTTTTGGTAAATCTTCTAAAAGCTGATGATTCAGAGCCTCATAATTGGTCTTGCTTTTGAAAAGCTCTTCTTGTAATTGTCTATTTTCTTTATTTTTATCAGCTTTGGCAAGACAATTGTCATAATCTAGTAGCTTATCATTGCGCTTCTCAATGAGCATGCATGGGCCTTCAAATAGTTCAAGCAGGGACATGAGAGGTGTAGTCACTCGACGTTCAACCACAGTTTTGAAATCCTGCCAATAGTTGTTCATAATAAGGCGCTGAGTTGTACGAAATTCATCTACATCTTGATCATTTTTACGCTCCATGTAGAATGCTCCCAATGCTTCACTTAGGTGAAACAGGTCTACCACTTCTTCCTGCAAGTGGTTTAAAAGAACATCCAGGTTCCTTAGGAAAATGCGCAGTGTTTTCTCTAACGAGTGAAATGATCGCTCCTGTTCAAGGAACAACTCATCTTTGGGAGCCAAGCTCAACCCAAGTGATGATGACAGTTTAGCACTGAGGCGAGAAGATTTTTTGGCAACAGAATGATAGTTGAGTTTCGCCATTTTCCGTACAAGAGTTGATGTTCCGTCTCCTAGATATTTAGATACTATGTCTTTTCTGCGTTTGAATTCATTTATGTCAGAAGCCATATTGGTGTAAACTTGAACAGCTTTTAGCAAATCTGACTTGTCCTTATGTTGATCTTCAGTGCATTTAATGAGTTCATTTAACATAAGAGGATACTTCAAGAGTCTTTGGACAGGCTTGATAAGTACTGAGCCCACGTTGAAGCAAGTCACTTGATACCTTAAAGTCTCCATTGCTTTATCAAAAACGGCTTGAGCTGCTGGTATAGTTTTATACTTTTCTAAAAGACCTAGAGCATTTTCATGGTTTGCACAGTATTCACTATAAACCTTTTTGATAAGATCTGCATGTTTCAGAAATACAGGTCCTACACATTGGTTTTCATCAGACTTCCCTTTCATAGCAAACTGCAGTGAATCTAAGAATTCCTCAGCAGCCTGCATAACTTCCAAGATATTTCCAAAAAGAGCCTTTACGTTTATCCCCCTTTCTTGTAACATGGTAGGATTATGCAAATTAAAAACTTCGTAGGTCATTTTAAGATCTCTAACATATTCCTTCTCTGTCATTACTAGTTCCGAAATAACATTTTGTCTCTGTTCCTTCATTTTTTTACGTTTCTCTTCATTATTATCAGATGTTTTTAGTTTTGCTGATTGAGAAGTAGATGAATGAGCCTCTGCGAGGTCCAATTTTTCTCTATAATGCTGAATATCCATCTTCAGTCTTTTCATCTTACGATCATACAATGCGCCACACTGCTGCAACTCCTCTGATCGGGGACAACTCTCTTCACTCTGCTCCAGTTCAGTTTCAATTTCTTCCCTTACAATCTGCATTTCCTGTAGATAGGAGCAAATTTTTATTGTTATGTGATGACAATTTTAATGGCTCATTTATCTGACAAATAGAATCTTTAAGGAAGACCAGTGCAGCATGTTAACATTTAAGTTACTCACAAATATATCCAAAATCATGAAAGCATGGAAATGACAACACATGAAAAAGCATGGAAGGCAAGAAAATTACACAATATAACAATAATAATAATAATTTTTACTAACCTGGAGTTGCTTTTCTTTCTTCATTATAAGTTCCTGAATTTCCTCAGCATCATTTGTTTCATCAGATAATACTGTAAGAAAAAATCAGAAAACAAATTTTAAAATTTGTTAACTTTAAGAGCACTTTATACAAAATCAAATGAACATAATTGGTGGACAAGCAAACACTCACCACAAGGAGCTGATGTCTGTCTTGGTAACCGTTTTAAGCTCCTGCGGACAGGTGTCTGACCAGCAATTGGCACAGGTGGTGCAGGTCGGTGTGGAGCCCTGTCAATACTAGTTCGTCTTGCTGGAGGAGGAGGACGCTGAGGGCGTTCAGGAGCTGGTGGAGCAGTTTCAACTGAAGCAGCTCCATCACCTGCAAAATTTTGTAATCATCAAAACTATACTTTGAAGAACTCTATCAAGCCTTATTACATTGAATAATTATCTTACTCTTTGGTTTTGATTTGTAGGGTATCTCTGGTGGTAGTGGAGCATCTTGGGAGACTTTGGCACTTGCTGACATTTCTGAGGGAGGTGGTGGAGGAGGATACGATGGTGGTTTACAACCATCTTCAACTTCAACAATTTCAAAAGACTCCTCAAGGTTGTTGCTATGCTCATCAGATTCTTTCTTCATTGTTTCACTTAGTTCTTCCTTGAAATCTATAAAACCCCTACCAACAGGTGATTTTCTTTTGACAGGAATTATGTCAAGCCCGGATAAATTTTTAGAAATTAAATCTTCTACTTTGTTGGGCTTTTTCCTATATTCAACAGCAAAATCATGTGGTTCAAACGTCCTGGGCAATGGTTTACTGGCTAAGAGTGGCTCCAAATTGCTAGTAAAGCTAGAAGATCTAAATAGTGTGCTTGTATCAGATTCATTGTGAGGGGCAAGGTGGTTTGAAGGACACAAGCCAGTGTTTCCTGACTGATTACGCACTTCGCACCAATCTTGATCAACAATTTTCATAACCATCACAATGTCACCTTCTTTAACAGAAAGGTCGCCATTCATTTGTGCATCAAAACTATACATGACTTTGGCATATGACCGAGGAGAAAGACAAGATAGACTGGCAATATCTTCCAAACCAATACTGGTACCTTTCCACCCTCTATCACAATCTACAAGAATGTTGACATAGCTCACAGGGAAAATTCCTTTTCTTCCATCAATTTCACCTTCAAGCCATTCATCATCTAGATGGCGAATGAGGTGAACTATTTCATTTTCATGGAAACTAAGCTCATTGGCATACTGGGCATAGAATGGATAAAGTGTCATACCATAAGGTTGAATGTTACCATCATCCAGCTCACTGACCAATTCTGTCAGGTATGATGAGCCAGAACTGCTTCTTTCTGTTTGCAATCCGGAGTTATCAGTTTCTAAACCAGAACTTCCAGAGTAATACGATGGCATATTTACTTTAAAGTAATCATCATTCAGAATTTCAAGCTCCGAGACCATACTTGTAGGTTTTTCTTCCACAACAGGTTTGACTTCCTTCTCAGGAGAAAATGTCATAAGGTCTTTCATAGATGATTCTGATTCAATATTGCAATATCGGTCATTGTTGTTAGTCATGTTGTTGTTGACAGAATTGTTTTTTGAAATTTTACTAGAGCTTGAGCCGCCACCATTATACTCCCTATTATCCTGAGCATATGTTTTTGAGCAATCGAGACTTGATGCAGCATTGTCTTCTAGAAGAGTGACATAGGCAGCTGGGAAAATACCAGAGTTTGTTCCACACACACCCCTGAAAGAAATCAAAAAATTTATTGATAAATAATAAACTACAGTATGTATAAGTTGGACTTTGAAAAAGACAAAAGCAAAATACATACCGATACCACCCTTTATCAGTTTCTTCAAGGATGGTGACAATATCTCCTATGTGAAGGTCCATTTCTTCATCCAGCTGTGCTTTTAAACTCATTTTAACTCGAGCCATTACATTCATAACATTTGATTTTTTTTTAACCTGCACAGAGCAAGAACATTAACCGAGATTCTATAAATTTAATTCCAATTGAATTAATTTATTCATAAGCACCACATACCTTTTGAGAAGTTGAACTTAAGTGCCAAGTGAAAGTATCAGGAAAAACACCTCTACGATTTTGTGTGATCCTCCCTTGCCACCAATGTTCATCCAATTTATTCTCGCCGATAATGAACTCACCTAAATCATGAAATGTAAAGTCAAATGTATATTGTTGGCAGGAATAAATTAATTTTTTCAAAGAAGAAGAAAACACAGAAAGAATAGTACATAGCAACTACCTTTGTAGAACTTAAGGTCTCCGTCTTGTTCCCCAGGGAAGTCAGCAATGGCAAGGAATAGTTGTTCACTATCTTTCACTTCAGGTGTTTCAATCGGAATGAGTTGGTCACATGGGAACTTGCCGATTCGACCAGAAGAGTTCCCATAACACCAGTATTTGTCAATAATTTCAATAACCTGAGTAAAAATATTGAAACAGGTAAATTTGAACACTTAAAGAAAGCGATTAACAAGTAGTGTCTTACCTGAAAGATGTCGCCCCTCATGAGACTGAGTTCGCCATCCATTGTCGTGTGTACATCTTTTAAAACTCTTGTTACTGTTCCTGATTCCATTGTGCATGCTCCAATTTCCTTGAGGAAACAACAAACAGTACATTCATTAGGCCAACGGTATGGAAGAAAGTGATAAGTTGTTCGTTGTGGGTTTGTAAGAGAACTACAATAATCCCACAAAAGATGTTGAAGTTAATTAAAAAGAAGTACAACTGGTTACATAAATTGTAAACAGGGAAACAACCTGACAAGACAACAAAAGAACTAAACAAATTACAGAGGGGAAAGGACACCTCCATACATTCGCCCTGAAGACACCGACAGAAAAATCGAGATACTAGGATAGAGAACGAAATAAGGCTGCATTTTGTACTGTATTCTCATTTTTTCTTCAGAGGGAAAAGGGTAAAACGGTAGGTAGGAAAAACTGTGAAGCCCTGACAGATGGTCATCAAATACAAATACCTGTGGGCAATCAGAAACGGCAAGTGACACGGAACACAAACTTCCTAGGGAATGAATGAAACCTGTTAACTGCGTTTCTCTCAGACAAACACTTACTTCAAGAAAACTACAAGGTCAACTAGCAGAACTTAATCCTCTTCATAACCTGCGTCAATGGCAATCAAATTGTTTGGGTTGTTGCTGTCATTGTCATTGGGTGCGTTCCACAAATGGCTGCCTTGCCACAGACCGGAAGCGACCGCCCGCAGCCAGCTGATGGTCGGTTGGTCGGGCGGGGAAATAGAAATGGAAAGGGAAAAACCACCGTCGTCGTGCCTCTCGCCTCGCGCCCGCCGTCAAACAAGTAGTGCGTGACTCCCTGCTTTGCTTTGTGTAGTGAGTGAAGCGCGTACACTGCCAAATTCCGAACAAAGCAGAAACTGTGCACGGCTGTGGCGGGGGCGCCGCGGGCCGACACCTGCTCAGCTCGACGGGCCACGGATTGCGTCAGGGCACGTCAGGGCCGCGACGAAAGACGTCACTGCAGACGTGAGAGGCGGCGCAACCATTAGGGTTCACGCGGCCAACTCGAGTACAGCTACTGGCGTCCCGCGCAACTCATGCGCTGCACGCAGTGCGGACTTTTGCGATTGCCCCCTCCCCTCCCCTCGCGAGATTTGTACATCCGCCGATTGCCGCGTCGCCGCGTCGCCGGATTAACTGCGGGCTGATTGCGAACGGTGCCCTCGTCGCTCTGTCTCGCTCGCTCGCGCAGGGCGTCGCGCGAGGGTGCGAGAGAGACCAGCGAAGGGCCGCAGAGGGCCGGATCGGACGGATCTCTAGAAGGCTCCGCGCCGCCCCTCCCGCCCGCGGCCTTGCAGTGCGTGCATGCCCAGGCAGTGCCATGCTGCCGTTGTTGCTTCCGTCGCGGCCGCGCCGTCCTAACCTGAGCAGAGGAAGCTGCTCTACCAAGTCTGCGACGTTTGCGACAGGCCCGGCCGTGCACTGCCCGCGCTGCAGTTCGGCGAGTTGGTTGAGTCCGCCGGGGGCGGCGGGCGAGAGACACGATGGGACGACGGCGCCGCTGCCACCGCTGCGACGGGGAAGTCCCCCGAGAGGCTCGCGGACCAGGCCGACCAGGCTGAGGGCCGTAACACGAGCATGTGCGCCTCTCGGGGGACGGCGTCGTCGGCGTCCTCCACACCCCGCAGCACCCTGGACACCGGTGACGCGCGGAAAGGTGAGGCCGGCGTCAAACAGGACAATACATAGCGCGAGCCAGACACCACTCCTTGCTCTGTCTTCCTCTCGCCCCAACGGCACACTTCACGAGTGCGAGAGAGACAGAGTGCGGCAGTGGAATGGCCTCACAGTGCCGAGTACTTGAACCCTCGCCGCAGATCGGCCGCCGAGGCCCGCACAAGGCCCGCGCCTGCCGCTGCCGCCGCCGCTGCCGCCACCGCCCCGCGCCTGGGGCATGAAGGAGTACGAGATGAAGCTGGACGAGCTGCAGCGGGAGAACCTGGACCTGAAGATGGACAAGTACGAACTGGAGACGCGGCTGGAGCGGCTGCAGCGGGCGGCGGTCCCCGGAGGGCCGGGCCGCAGCGAGGACGCCGACAAGGAGGCGCTCCTGGTGAGCCAGCCCAGCCGGCCCGGTCGGCAGCCACGTGCCCTTGTTGCCGACGCACAAGCCAACTCCTGGACAGCGACTTCCAGGAGGAGCAGGACAGGCTGATCGCAAAGCTGAGGGAGCATCAGGACATGATGAGCGTGGCGGCCTCTGCGCTGGAGGCCATGCAGGAGGAGCGCGAGCAGCTTCGTGAGCGCGTCAGGGAACTGCAGGACGAGCAGGTACTTTCAAGGGGATCTCTCAAGGGGAAGGCCGTGAATGGCCAGGCTTTAATTTGATCGCGGTTCCCTGGGAGTTCAGCGCCGTGGGTCTTCCTCGGGGGCCAGCTCCATGGTCTCGTCGCCGCGGCCGGCGCACCAGGTGGGCAGCCAGGTAGACATCCATGCAGGCAGCCAAGTTTTTGGAGGGCGCGGCCAACGTCCCAGGACCCCCAGGACGTGGTCGGCGCGCTGCGGAGGGACAACGAGGCCAAGGACCGCGTCGTGGTGGAGCTGCAGGCGCTGCTGCAGCTGCGCGAGGAGGAGGCGAGTCGCGCGAGGACCGCCCTGGCGGAGCAGCAGCGACGCGCCGACGACGCGGAGGCGTTGCTTGCCGGTGAGAATGGCAATGCAGCGTGCAGCATCAAACAGGGGCCGTCACGGACCCGGGTCCTGGGTCGCAGAGTCCCGGTGGCGCGAGGCGGCCTTGGTGGAGGAGCTGGCGCGGGCGACGGCCGCGATGGCGGCGCTGCAGCAGCGGTCCCAACAGCAGCAGGAGGACGCGGTGCGCCGCGAGGCCAACCAGGCCGTCGAGCACGCCGCGATGACCACGAAGAAGGTGGGTTGCCGCCGGTGGGGGCGCCGTGTGGCGGTGCGTTACAGTGGAGTGTCCGTGCAGCTGCAGGCCCTGCAGACGGAACACGCCCGCGCGCTGGCCGTGGTGGCGCGACTGGTGCGCCGCAGCCGCGAGCAGAGCGCCGAGCTGGAGCGGAGGGAGCGGCGCCACGAGCAGCAGCGCGCCGAGGAGCACGCCGAGGCCCTGGCCGCCCTGGCCGAGGCGCAGAGCCTCCGCGAGCAGCTGCGAGCCGCCAAGGCCGCCAACGGGGTGCGTTCAAAATCCGAAAATCAATCGGAACCCAGTGATCTTGTGTCTAACAAGCACCGCTCTCGCCCGACCCGCCCACCTAACACAGGAGTCGGCGACGGGACGTCCTCGGCACGACACTGGGGTCGTGGCACCGCCCTTCCCGCCCTCACCCTTCCTGCCCTGGGTGCTGCAGTCCGTGTCCAAGGTAGGCGGGGCTGGAAGCACGTCTACGCGGCAGCGTTGCCTCATCAGTGGGCAGAAATTCCCACGGTGCACCTAAGGTTGTCAACCAGCCTTCCCGAACTTGGCTTTTGAGAAGGCGGCCAACCCTTCGGACACCGTTGCCTACGTCTGTGGCAACACTGCTGAGCAGCCCCTTGCTTGTCGTGCTTGTCCAGCTGTGGAGCTCGCTGGTGGCCCCCTCCGGCCCCGGGCCGCCGGGGGGCAGTCCCGGGGATGCCGGCGTCCTGGGCTCCGCATCCCGCTAGCCGCCGGCCCGGCCCCGCCCAGTCCATGGCGAGCCCCGTAGTGACACCGGTGATTCCGTCGTGATTCCAGCCGGCCACAAGCGGACCGTCATCCTGGGACGACCTCGGCGGCCAGGGCGACCGCCGCGCGGCGCACGCCCCGACGCACACCACCAGCATGTCCTCGGTGTGGTGCGGCTTGACGTGGAACCAGAGGCGGCTGCTGCTGGACTTGGTGGAGGCGGGCCTGGACGCGGGCCTGGGGGCGGGCCTGGGGGCGGGCCTGGGGGCGGGCCTGGGGGCCGGGCTGGGGACAGGCCTGGGGGCGGGTCTGCGGCTCCTGGTGGGCAGCGCCGACCAGTCGGACGACTCTCTCGCGGACCTCCGACTAGACGGCGATGATTTCACCGACCGCTCGTCCGGGAGGTGCGCGCCGAAGGCCGTGGGGGCGTGCGGCGGCGACATGGAGGCCATCCCAGCGATCCCCGAGTCGGCCAGCCAGTCGGCCAGCGACCTCCTCTTGGCCTGCCTGAGCGACCCCGCCGTCCCCGCAGAGCGAGGCAGGGCGCTGCAGCCCCGGAAGCACGACCACCCTCCGCCGAAGAACGACGAGGCGTCCTCGGACAGCAGCCCGAGCAGCCCGAGCAGCGCGGCACAGTTGTGGTGGTGCCCCAGCCCTCCCAGCCCCAGCCAGGCCCTGGTGCAGCAGGCGGCTCGGCCTCTGCGGCCGCTGCAAGGCTCGGACGCCAGCCTGCCACTCAGCCTGCCACTCAGCGCGCCGTCCAGCCTGGACAGCCTGGAGCACAGGGCGAGCTCGCTGGCCCACCCCATGAACCACCTCATGGGCCAGCCCATGGGCCAGCCCATGTCGGACTCGGTGCTCGTGCTGCAGGCCCAAGTGTCCATGCTCCGCTCCGAGAACGAGCGACTGTGGGGCGCGCTGGGCGGGGTCATCCGCGGCACGCGCTCCAGCTGCTCGGGGGGCTGCGGCGGCACCGAGAGTGCGGCCGTGGCCGTGGGCCCGCGGCGGAGCCTGCGCCGCTACAAGTCCCTGGCGCTGCCGGCACGCCAGCGTCGCAACGGTAAGCGGGGCTTGGGGGCGCCGCCCGCCGCCCACGCGGCCACGCCCTCTCTCTGGAACGACGGCGTCTGCGCAGGGGAGGGGCGCGTACCTGGCGTACCTGGCGGTCCTCGCGTCCCCGGCGACGTGCACGGGTCGGCATCGTGCCCGCGGCCGCAGGCCCTGGCGGCAGGCGCGCTCGACGTGGTGCAGGGCGGCGGCGAGGCCGGCGAGGTGACGTCGGACAGCTCGGCGTCCGGGTCGTCGTGCAGCGGCGTGAGTACTGGCGCCGCGCGGCGCAGAATGCAGTAATGCCACTAATTGTCGGGGCGGCCGCCAGCAGGCCGCCAGGCTCACTCCGAACCCAGCCTTCGTCGCTCTGTCTCGCTCACACGCGTGCGCTAGCGTGCGCAACGCGCCGTGAGAGCGAGCGAGAGAGACAGCGAGGGGGGTCGCTCTGCTAGCCGCGCGTCGACGGAGAGGGCAATGTGACCGCCGCCACGGCCACAAACTGCAGAGAGAGAGAAGGACGTCGCGCTGAGCGTTCCTCCTCCACGGCTGCGCTTTCAGCCTCTGCTTGCGGCCAGTTCCGAGTCGGCCGCGAGGGTGGCGTCCTTGGGCGGGCACCGCAAGCGCTCGGGCACCGGGACGCTGGCGTCCAGGAGCGCGACCAGGAGCACGGCGGGCCGGCTGCGCGACGCCTGGCTGCAGCTCGAGGAGGCCAGGCAGCTCTGCGAGCAGATGGAGTCGCAGCTGGGGCAGATGCGGCAGATGGGGGGCTGCGGCAGTCAGGAGTGCCAGGCGAGTCTGCAGCCTAGCCTCGTTCGAGGAGCAGGAGAGCCTAGGCTTGGCCTACTCGGCGCGCCTAGGTCACGGCCTAGGTCAAGGCCTGGGTCAATGCCTAACCCAAGGGCGACGCCGCTACTGCGTACTTCCGACTCTTCTACGTCGCTTTGGTCGACCCTCGAAGCGCGTGGCTCACCAATCGATATCCTAATCACTCTCCGATTTTCGATTCTCGCCCTGACCGCCTCATTTTGTTTCAGGACTGTTCACCGGACGGCGGTCTCAGGCTGAAAACGAGCGGTAAATGAAGCGCATCACACATGCATGATGGTTTGCCCGGAAACAAAACAGCGGCGGGCACCTCATAGCGCCTGCGAGGTAGGCCGGCCGGCCTACCCCGCCCCTGTGGAGGCGACAGGGGCAGGGTAGGCCAGCGTCTCCACACCGGTGTTTTGCGGACCGCCCGGTGGCCTACCTCTCAGGCGCTAAGGGCGCTGACGCCAGAAGCGGGCGGGTAAAACCGGCGGCTCGCGGTTTCTCGAGAATTTTGGTTACAGAAACCTTGGTTTCCTCTTCAGAGTGACAGCCGACCACGAACATCAACCCCCTCCGACGGCGAGCGCGACGCGGCCCCGTCTCCTCGTCCGAGAGGCCCTGGTTGGCCTGGTCCAGACGGCGGGCCGCAAGCGAGAGCTGGAGAGACTCTTACAGTGGAGCATCCGCCGCGTCCGGCGGGCCCTCCCCGACAGTGTCGCGGGCGGGAGAAGCAGGCGAAGCAGAGCGCCTTCCTGAAGCCCGTCATCCTGGAAGACTTTCACCCAGATTTATGCCTCGGGTCGATTTGTCGCGGTGGTTTTCACTGGATGAATAAACCGAATGGTTCGCTGAAGTGGCCGCCACACCGGCAGCACAGCCTACAGTGGTGTGCGATGGGCTGCCTGCCCACAGGCGCGGCCTGCGTAGCCTGCGCTGTAGCGGAACCGTCTCAGTTCCTTGGGACTCGTGACGTACGCGTAGGGTTCGGCCCCGGGGGAAACTCTCGGTCGATTAATAAACGATGAGCACTGAGGTCGATTCTTCACCAGGATATTCACGCCCATCACACTTTAGAACACGAAAGTACGGAGTACAGCCACTTCCCCGAGCTTCTAGATTCTAGGTCTTCGTTCCGTGGGGAAGGCAAACTTCAGACGGCTTCAGCCAGCGACCTGCCGCAGGACTTCTCGGCCTTTGCGACCGTCTGGGCGTCCCACTACTCGACAGGCCTCGGGCACGGCCACCAGGCGGGCTACCCTCCCTCTGCGCGACGCGCGACGCGCTAGATTTTTCATTTTCGATCTGGACCTAGAACTTCCATCCCAACGCGCTCGCATTCGCGCCGCACGTGCCTTGGGTGCCGGGCAGCCCAGCCCGCCAGCCCACAAGCCGGAAGTGACACCAAGTGCTCGCGGTGGACGATTTTGGCGTTAGAAGTTGTTGCTCGCGAAGGAGAAAAACTCCAAAATGGGAAAAACTCCAAACGCACGTAACGAATAATCCGTTGCACGACTCCAAAAAATGTGTATTTCGCCAAAATTTACAGACACGTATGAATTTCAGTCGAAATGCCGAAAGTTTATGACGACATTTGCCGGTCTTTAGACGTCATTCATCAAAACTGATACAAAGCTCAATCAAAATGACATCTAATGCCTGCTCGCTCGCGCTGTACGCTCACACGCACGCCCACGAGGCCCCGCCGGGGTGAAGCGCAACGCCTGGAGGTCGTGTCGCGCAGTGTTCCTCGGGACAAAGGGTTCAATTACATTGAGTTCTGTGGTAAATTGCTGCTCAGTTCATGGAATATTTTAAGGCTGTGAACCTGGCCCGCGTTCACAGACGGGGTCATTCTCCCCGCGTCGCCTGCTTGGTGCTTTGTTTACTCAGCCTGCGGGGGAGGGGGAGGGACGGCGAGGTTGTCACCCCCTCCCCAATTTACGCCAAGACAGGCGCGGCATGCAGGGAAGTGCAGCGTTCAACTGCACGGACCGATTTCGGGGGCTGCGTTCGGTTGAGCATTAACCCTTGAGTCGATTCGGCTCTAAGAAAAGACGTGAAAAGGCTCGGGTCGATGCATGACGAGGACACTGTTGTCATTGAATCGTCGAAGGAGACGCCGCGCGCCCATTATCTTTGATTGGAGCCCCCCTCACGCGAAGGGCTGGGCTAATCACGACAAGAAGGGCACCCCTCGGGGCACCCCGCCCCGCCCCGCTGCCACTCGGTGCAGGCCCCAATGTTGAGCAGTCACTGCGCAGCCGGCTGAGGGGCAGGCAGGGAGACCCAAGGGGAGACCACGCGGGAGTGCCAACGAGTAGAATTGTGTTGAGTGCCCATGTCTTGGAAACGGTGACCATGGGTTACGATATTAGGGAATAGAAGTTTAGTTTTGTTCATAACGCTCACAGAATCCCAGATACTCAAAGTTTGAAATTGTGGGAAAAAATGAGTTGCGCTCTGAGGTGAGAGCGTGCAAGAGGCCGTGTTTGAGGACGTTGGAAGCCAAAAGCCGGTCTCGCCCTGGGCGCCCTGGGCCATGCCATGAGAGGCGACGAGGAGGCAGGTTGGCCGCGTACGCCGCTTTCGCCGTCCCTGTCTCTCCGACTGGCGTGGTGGCTGCGGCTTCTGTCTCCCGATGATGGGCGCGCTCCGCGGTGCTACACATTCTTCCACCGGCTGCTCCTGCACTTCCGAGGAACTCGAGTTAGTGCATGCCCTTGCCCCAGCAGCGCATGGTGGCACAATGTGCACCTGTGGAGTACTTGCATCCTGAATATGAAACAAGCAGTCATTTCGAAAAGTGTCTCTTCCAAGCTCCTTAAAAATAATCTTTTTTAAAATTAAACTTTAAAACAAAATCTGGGCGCGCAGACGGTTGGCTGAGACTTTGCACGACTGCCGCAGACGACCGTGGCGGCGAGCTGGTTGCTGCTGGCGTTGACGGTGGGGGACGCGGCCTGCTCCGCGTCGTGGGCCGAGGCCCAGTTCGGCATCCGCTTCGCCTCCACGTTCGTCGCCACCCTGCCCGCCCAGGCCCTCTTCGCGAACCGCGCGCCCGTCCTGGCGCGCAGCATGCGGCTCCTGCACCGCCTGGTGTGCGACGTCGAGGTGGACGCCGACGCCGCGTCCAGGGTGAGGCAGCGCCCACAGCGCTCGCAGCAGGCCGGGCAGGCACATTGGGCCAGAAGACCGGTGGAGGCGGACAAAACTCTAGACGCGTTTTGAGCTCCAGAGTCGCTAAATGGGACTTAAACCGAACGTGTGACCCCACCAAAGCATTGCTCTCCGAATGAGGAATCCATTGGTGGGGTCACGCGTTCGGTTCGCGGCCTGTTAAGCGACTCTGGAGCGCAAAGCGCGTCTAGAGTTTTGTTCGCCTCCACCGGTCTTCTGGCCCACTGCGACAGGGCCAGGCCCTCAGGGCGTCGAACTCGGACTGAGGGGTGTCTGCCTGCCGCCACCAGGAGACGCTGCGGCACGCCGCGCGCGTGGAATGGCGCTTCACCGCGGTCTACGGCATCGCCGTAGCCCTCATCGTGTGCGTGCCCTACGACATCTTCACCGACGACTGGGACGCGCGCTGGCTGACGGACGCCGTGGCCGCCGCGACCGGGGTGCGCACCCACGCATGGCTCCCGATCCTCATCAAGCTGGTCATGTGCTACACCATGGTCGCATGCGCTGTGTCCTACTACGCGCTCCTGCTGTTCGTCCACTCGCACTCCAACGCCAGCACCGCCGTGTACCGCGCCGCCGCCCGGGCCCTGGAGGTGGCGAATGACTGCGTTGAATGAATAACCAGCCGGAGCCCGTTGGCCACCGGCCGCGGATTTGGACTTATGCGACTGCCTTTCCAGACGGGGCCGTGCTGGCCGCGCTGGCCCGCGGTGATCGGCGGCGTCTTCAAGGCGGGCCTGGACATCGACGCGGACGTGACGCCCGCCATGACCCTCCTCATGGTGGGGCCCCTGCTCATGCCCCTGATGTGCACGGTCGAGGTGCGTACTCGAGTCGCACAGCCGCGCAGCGCGCTAAACGAACAGTGGGCCAGAAGACCGGCGCAGGCGGCCAAACTCTAGACGCGGTCTGGGCTCCAGAGTCGCTAAGTGGGACTCGAACCGATCGTGTGACCCCACGAATGGATTGCTCTCCGAGTGAGGAATCGATTGGTGGGGTCACACGTCAGCCCAGTTTAGCGACTCTGGAGCTCAGAACGCGTCGAGTTCTGCCGCCTCCTCCGCGGTCCCCCGGCCAGGGTAACGGGTTGGGAGGGATGCCGAGCTCAAAGCCCTCGTGCTGCAGCTGATGCTGACGGACGGCGCCGTGGACTCGTACGCGTGGCTGTCCGTGCCGGCCATCCTCATCGACTTCGTGCCCCTCTGCGAGTCGGGGGACCGCACGGCCGCGGCCAGGGCCTCGGTGGGCACGGGCGCGTACTTCGGGGCGTGGCCGGAGGAGCGGCCGCAGCAGCAGCGCATGAGGATGGCCATCATCCAGGCAAGTGGACGGACCGCCTGGCCGCCGAGCCACTGCGCCTCACGCCTGCGACGGCGCTTTTGTCTGAGAGTCTCTTTAACGCCAAGTTCCTCCTGTTGCTCATTTCATTGTTGTGCAGGCGGCGGGCGAGGGCGACCGCGCACCGCGGATGCGCTGCCGGGTGCTAGGCTTCCTGGACCGGGCGGCCTGCATGGACATCCTCAAGTCGTGGTTCAGCTGTCTGCAGGTGCTGTACAACGTGCAGCAGTGACGCGCGCCTGCAGAGGAGGAGCGCAACGCATCCAAATGTTCGCACAAATGTCATATTTTTGGAGTAAAATAGAGAAAATGGTACAACGCCTGCCTTTCTTATTTTCAAGCTGTATACTCAATCTCACAGTGAAGACTCTGCACCACAGCTGTCGTTTCCCTGCAAAGGTAAATCCAGCTAGTACCACGATCATAAGCAGCGACGAGAATACTCTCAATTAATTCATTGCCGCTGCCGTGCTGTACGTGCGGTGTTCTTCAGGAGGAAAGTCAAACACGTGGGGAAAAACGGCGCTAGCCAATCCCGCGAATCAGTACAGTGTCAAACGAATCTCGTATTGCCGCTGCAGCCGGCGGGGCGTGTCGCGGTCTGCAAGGCGTGCTCTTTTCCCTGGCAGTCGCTAGTACAATGGTTCGCGAAAAAAAATTGTGGGGTCGCCGCCTACTATCTGGGGTCGCGTGGGGTCGCGAGCTGGCGGCTGAGGGTCAGTCTGCGGGGAAACCACCATTAGGGAAATACGGGAAACCGACGGATGTTTGGTGCTAGTGGCAAGGGCTAGTACCAAGGGCGGGCCTGGGGCAGGGCGGCAGGGACAGGCGTAGGAAAGTCGCTAAATGAAACTCGAACCGAACGTGTGGCACCCCACACCAATGGATTGCTCTCAGAGCGAAGTCCCATTTATCGACTCTGGAGCTCAAAACGCGTCCGTGGTTTTGACGCTGGCCTAGGTTGAGCCCGCACAATGATGAGTCTGACCGTAGCCCGACTGATCGGCTTATTATTGCCTCGTTGATTGGACCGCTTCCAAGTGTGCCTCCACGCCGCGGCGCTACGCCACGCCATGCATGCCACGCTGACGTCGTCCTCGCAAGGCCCCGGCCGCGGACTGCAAGAGTGCAAACGGGTGCGTTCTGGGCGGGGAAACCGGGAAACATGGCGCGACGTAAACAAACGCCGCATGTCCGACCGCGGGATTTCCGGCGGCGTGCAGCGCTCTGATCGCGAAGTGCTTTCGTCGCGCTGTCTCTCTCGCACTCAAGGGGCGTCCCGCGGGAGTGCGAGGGAGACAGAGCGCGCGCCTGCAGCGGTGCCGGCCGGCGTACCGTATGACGCGGGCCGGGCGCCGCGACACCGTATAAGAGCGGATCGCAGCCTCAGGACCAGCACCACACTTCGCTGCATCCTCGCCATAGCTGCACCGAACCGCACCAAGCCAACCAAACCGATCCAAGGTGAGTCCTTTAGCAGTGTGGAGGCAGCCCGTCGGTGTCGGGGCGCGCCTCGGACTTGACGGCGGACTTGATCTCCTCCTGACGCCCTTCGCTGTGTTGCAGATGATGCGCACCGTGCTTGTCCTCGCTCTCTTCATGGTGGCGTTCTACGCTACGGGTATGTACCACCACGTCGTCAACGTGCCTCCGAGTCCACACTCTGCAGTGTAATTATTTTAATATCCATCCATTTTCTTGCAGTGTCCCTCGCTTGCGTGGGCCATGACGGTGCCTGCGAGGGCGCCAACGGGTCCCAGGGCAACTGCTGCGGGGGCATGCACTGCCAGAAGAACGACCCCAGCTGGCGCCAGGGCCGCTGCTACTACAACCCCGGCAAGTGATCTTGGAACCCCCTCGCCGCCCGCACCCCGAGGGCGTCGTCGCGGACCTCAGCCTCTCGGACACCAACACCGTTCTGGACTCCAAGGCCCGATCATCGCTGTGTCACAGCAGCACATTCTACCATTAGTTGCGAAATAAACCGTTCATGACTGCAGTCAACTTTCGACCCTTTTTAGCAGATGATACCTTCACACTTGAAACATACTTAAAACTACTATGCACATGAAGGTGTCAGCGTGCTTTTACTCTCGAGTCCAGAAACGAGTATTAACCGAGAAATTTGAAAGGGAAAAGAAAAAATTTGAACTCTACACCCCCTCCCCAGTCTTAATGGGGAGGCCTCCTGCTTTACTTCGGTGTTCGGGATGGGAACCGGTGCTATCAGGTACCTGGGGTTAATCCCGTCAGCGACCCAAGCGTTCGCCGGGGGACCCAGTAGGACCCCAAAGCTCAGGCAGCTGGGTGAGAGCACCCAGTACGAAGCTCTTTGAGGGGCGGGACGTAGAGTGGGACGACAGAGAGACAGAGAGAGACTCAGACAGAGAAGAGGTTTGGTGGGAGCTTTTTGTTTTCGTAGGGTTGGTTGTGTACCCCATGGTACCCCCACTGTCCGGCGCTCCCGTACCGAACATACAGCGTTTTAGGCCAGCTTCAAAGGACTTATCATCGCCTCCCCGACGAGTCAAGGAGGCACCACCCGCAACCACACACCGGATGGTCTGGATTGATGGATCAAATACTCCATCGCTCCAGTGCCGAGGCCAACCCGCCGAAGCGGATTGCTTTTTAGACACCCACAGCGGAGTGGCCAGGTGAATGTGACTCTGACCACTACGCTATCACGCTTGTACGTCTGGTAGCGTGTTGGACGACGGGTTTGAGTTGCACTGGGAGGAAGGCGGTCGAAAAATGTAATGAAATGATGGGATTTGAACCCCGGACCCCGCCATCGGGATCACACGACTATACGCTCTCGGCCACCACGGCCCATGATGAGAGGATCGGCGTGAGATGGGTTCTTGACGCAACAGGACTCGACCGACCCGGTCAAAATTTCGCAAGAAGATGGGGGAGTCGAACCGCCGACCCTAGCTCTGAGAACCGACGCCTCTACTCCCTGGACCACGACGTCCCATGCTCGGAGTGGGCTCACGTTTACGGGTTTGAACCGCACTGGGCGAGGCAGTAAAATTAAATGGAAATATTTGTTAGGAGTCGAACCTCCGGCATGTGGGCCTGTTGCACACGGCTCCGCTCTCATGGCCTCGAACCACCACCCTTAGGATAGCAAGTCGAAAAAACTTTTGTGACGCTGGTATTCGAACGCCGGCCTGCGGTAACTCGATCCCACGTCTCTAACCTCTCGGCTATCACAGCAGTTGTGAAACGCGATGGATCATCTGCTTTCATTAACGTTCGTTGAATGAGATTTTTTGTATTTTTGCCACCACATTTTTTCCCGCTTTAGAAAAAAGCGTTTCACCTCGCACGCGCGAACAGCCGAACCGTTGAAACGGAGAGACACGTTTACTCGGGCCACACGGCACACTGGGAAAGGGGAGGGGGCGACACTTGTTCGCCGCGCTGATTTTTCCCATGCCGCTGCCATGGCTCTGTGGTAATGTGATCTGAAAAAACGTCATGCGGACCTTTAATGGCGCAGTGTGCCACACAATCAATCTTGCGCCATGCATATTTCAGTGTTTGCTGGAGGGGGCGGGGGACACATGCTGGCCCCGCGACCCCATTGGTGTCAATGGTGACCCCTTGCATTATGCCTCCAGTTTGGTGCGGGTAAAATACCCCTCCCCTTTTACCCCTGATGTTGCCCTCGTCCTCTTTGTCCTCACACGACACACGCGCCGTAGAGGGAGCGGAGGGGTGGGAAAAAATCATCCGCCTTTGTCGGTATTCGAACCCACGGCCGCTCCCTTTAGCTAAAGTGGTCCCCGTTACGTTCGCCCCCGAGGCGACGACGACGCTTCTCCATCATGTGTCGTCGCGGTCGCGGAGGCAGGGGTCGCGGGGACGCGCTCTAGAACCACCAGTGCACCAGTGGTCGAGAAAGAGGGGGGGGGGGGCGTCTGCACGGTGGGCTGCCTGCCTGCCGGGCGCGGCGCGGCTCCGCGCTCCGCACCCACGCGTGAGGAGGCCACGCCGAGCCGCCTTGCCGCTGACAGGCACAGAGGTGATGATCTCGTGACTCCACACAAGCTGAGCCAAATAAAAAGATGGCAGGTTGAGACAGTGGCGGGGCCGAGGCTGCCGCGTCTGCCGCGGCCCGGTCCCGGGGGTGCCTCACGCAAGGCCGCGTCCTCGCCGCGTCCTGACCCTGACTCCCCTGGCCGCATCTGCCGCCAAACGCTTCCGTTCAAGACGCTCCAGCATTTCGAACGCGAGACGAAACTAAATTCGGGCAAGGGTCCACTTCCACCGGACAACGCGGTCACCATCGCCTCGCCTGCACGCGGCGCCATTTGGGCTTCCGGTCGAATGGTTATCACCCTCGGCGTCAAAGAAGTGGCCCGCGAGCTGTCGGCAGGTGGCGGGGAGGGGGAGGGTGGGTGCCGCGGCGGCGGGGCGGCGGGGCGCGGCGCGGCGAGGCGCCACCCTCGCAGTCAGTCCGGCTCACCCCTCGCTATAGCATGGCCCCGGATGCACCCCGCCGCCGCCATGCACGCCGCGGGCCTGGCCAACGGCCTGGCGCCCCTGGGCTACATGCTGGGCCTTCCGCCTCGGGGCTGCGACACCGCATGCAGCCCCGGCCGTAGCCGCGGGGACAGCCCGCACAGCCCCGACAGCCCCGACAGCCACAGTCCGAGGACGAGGAGTCCGTCGCCGAGCCCAGCGCGCGGCCCCATGCCGCCGGGCTGCCCCATCACCGCCCTCACGCTGCTGCACTCCTGCACGCTCAGCCCCTCCGCCTTGGGTGAGTACTGCTTGGCGGCGAGCTCCAAGCCGCCGACGTCACCGACGTCACGGGGCATTCTAAACCCGCTGTGCGCAGATGCGGTCCGTCGCTTCCAGCCGTGGAGCAGCGCCGGCGGCCCGGCACCCGCCGACGGCGACCTGGTGGACATCCGGGAGCACAACCCGGTGCAGCCGATAGGGCCGCCGGCGTCGAGCTCCACGACGTACTCCTTGTGCGGTCTCGGGCGCCTGGAGGACGCCTTCGCGCGTAAGCACACCATCGAGTGCACGTTGACGGAGTTCGTTCGGCTCTTTAAGCATTACTTCCTTCCCCAGCGCTGCCGCTGTCGGTGCAACTGCCCCTGCCGCTGCCCGCCGCCAGCGCCCCGCGGCGGCCGCGCAGCGAGAAGAAACCCACCCCCGAGGACCAGAAGGACCAGCGCTACCTGGAGCGCCGCCGCAGGAACAACCGCGCCGCCAAGAAGTCGCGGGACGCGCGACGCGCCAGGGAGGACCAGGTCAGTCGCGGGACGGGGCGCGGGTTCGAGTCCCGCCGCCGCCTTTTCACTTTCGGGGGAGAGAGAACTGAGTGCCTTCGCCGTGTCAAAAACCACCCAAGTAGAACAGGGTCTTCAAAATGACGTCAACCTCTGGATCATTTTACGTCTGAAATCACCCCGGGTTGACATGATTTTGACTTTCCGTCCCTCTCCTCGACCGCGGCGATGCGTCGCGGTGGCTTGCTGCTGCAGCAGTGCCTCTGCTCTGCCACAGGTGGCGCTGCGGGCCGCGCTGCTGGAGCACGAGAACGCCGTGCTGCGGGCGCAGGTCATGACGCTGCGCGAGGAGACGCATTCGCTGCGCCAGCTGCTGCTGCACAGCCACGGCCACGGGGGCCACGGGCTCGCCAAGGGACCGCCGGCGCCGCTACAGCACCGCAGGGACGCCGTCGCGGCGACCGCCAGCGCCGAGGCCCTCATGCGCAGGATCTAGCTAGACACCCAGGCCGCGCGCTTCCGTCCCCGCTGCAACCACACTGCGATGGCGCCGCGCGAAGACAGGGCGGTGATGGCGGTGATTATGCGCAAGGCGGTAATGGTGGCGTCAAACGCCGCGTGGCTGCGTACTGCCTATTGATCCTGGCATCCCTGCTCGGCTCGCACTGCGCCTCGCCGTCTGCGGCCGAGGCGGCGACAGCCTGCGGGGCCTGCGGGGCCTGCACTACGATTCCAGGAGTCACCCTCATCGTCTGTCTCTCTCGCATCCGTAGCACCATGAGTGCGAGAGAGACAGAGCGAAGGTTGGCTGCACTGTCTGCACCTGCCGCGGCTCGATAGCGTCTCACGGCAGGCTGCTCGGCAAGGCGGGCAAGGTGGCAGGCCTGTCGGAGCGACACCTCGTTTACGTCACGTCGTGCTGGCGGCCCTGGCGGCCGGGACTGGCTCATTTCAACCCCTCACATCCCCATCCCGCCATCCCTGCGTCGCCACATCCTGTTTTGCTGACGGCCAGCCCCCACCCTCCGCCGGCAGGGCTGCCACCACCCGCTGTCTCAATCAACGACTCGATAAGTCGTGCGCAGTTTCCGGTCCGCGCCGGAGGATTTTGGCACCGCGGTGCTCATGGTGTTGGTGCCCCCTCCCCTCCCCTCCCTTGAACGCTTCCGGCTGTCGGGTAATGTGCGGCGCAGCAGATGTAAGCGATTTGTTGGCCGGCCTGATTTCGCTCGCTGCGACCGGCCGGAAGTGGCGCTGCCGGCGTCAAGTTGGCCCGCCGAGAGAGAGAGAGAGAGAGAGACACGCCACTCCCTCGCACAGGATGTGAAGCGGGGCGGGGTAATTAGGAACGGCTGCAGGTGCGTGCTCTCCCATGCAGTGCGTGTTAGGGGTTGCGTAGTGTCATCTGACGCCATAGGGCACCCCGCCCCGCTCTTTCAATCATCGGCTCAGCACGACGACGACGCTGTAATGCCCCCGTCAACCCTTTCGTTTGGGCTGGATCGCGCGCAATGCTTGTGTCTCGTTCGGTGGGGAGATGTATGTAAATAAAGATCGGAAACGGAATTGTAGCTTATTTAAATTATACTTTATTTCTAACGTTCTTAATTCATCTATAAAGGTAAAAAAACACAGTGGTGACAACAAATGGCAGATAAAATGTCATTTCGAAAAAATTGCAAACGCAGTTTGTAAACCTTACTCTCTATTACGTACACGAATAATTAAATAATGACGAATTGGAGCTAAACAACTAAACATCTAAAACGACAAGAAAATGGCAGGGGTATATGGGTGCGCCGCCGCGTCGCCTACGCCAGGGTGTCCGGGTTGAGGGAGACCATGAACTCGAGGAAGCCGTCCACGTCGTCCAGCTGCTTGGACACGAACTTGGCGGCGATGGTGGCCTTGCCGGGCACCCTGGGCACCATGCGGAAGGACACGGTGGCGGTGCCGTTGGGCGGGATGGCTCTGCGGACAGGGGGGAGAAACGTTATTCACAGCGTGCCGCACGGTGGACCAGTGGAGGCGGTCCCAATGCCGGACGCGTTTTGAGCTCCAGAGTCGCTGAATGTGACTCGAACCGAACGTGTGACCCCACCAATGGATTGCTCTCGAACGAGGAATCCATTGGTGGGGTCACACGCTCGATTCGAGTCCTGCTTAGCGACGCTGGAGCTCAAAACGCGTGTAGAGTTTCGTCCGCCTCCACCGGTGTTCTGGCAAGTCCACTGAGAGGCGAGCACGTACTGCGCCATGTCGATCTTGAGCTGCTTGTCCACGCCGGGGCCCTCGATGATGAACTGGCCGCGCTTGAGCGCGATGGGCAGCGGGTTGACTAGGGACGCGGACGCCATCAGCTCGCGGTCCGTGACGGGCGGGCTCTCGAGCTGCGGCAAATCGTAAGCACACCGTCAGACCGCTGAAGAGGAACGACACTGTAACACCGCGACGGCCATGCCCACCTGGATCTTGATGTCGGGCTTGCGCACCCGGAAGTCGTCCTGCGCGAAGTACTCGTAGTCGGTCTCGTGGACGGTGGCGAGGCAGGCGATGTTGAAGGCGGCCTGGTCCAGCAGCCGCGGCGCGTACTCCTCCCAGGACACGTCGAGCCGCACCTCCTCCTCTGCGACTCAAATTAAATTAATCCTTTTTGCCATTGTTTTTGTTTAGTTTCGTCCAGCGGCGCGCTTACCCGTCCCGGCGCGCACTTTGTGCGCGGACCGCTCCTTCTTGACGGGCTCCTTGACGCGGCCCGTGTACAGCACCGTGTCCACGCGCAGCACCACCGTCACGGAGTAGTCCTCGCGCCGGCTGCGGTTCCTCATCAGCACCACCACACTGCGGACAGAGCGCCGTAAGAACCGATCCCTCGCACAACAAGCTGGCACCATGGACGACGGACTCACGAGAAGGGCTGGCCGATGACGATGTCGTCGCGGAGCTGGAAGTCGAACTGGAGGTCGTTGAAGTCCTCGTTGAGGTAGTAGCGACTGAACAGCGACTCGCTCTGCGCCAGCGCCTTCAGCATCGTGGACCTCTCCTCGTCGCTCTCTGCAGCGGGAAGGGCGAGGCATGAAGGACAAGGGACTTGAACGCACGACGCCCGGGCCGTCCCTACTCACTCTCGGGGTACTTGTAGGTGTGCGTGACGTCCTCCCGCGTCCACTTGCCGACCGCCTTGGTGCTGATGAGCAGCCCGATGCCCAGGGTGTCCTTCCGCAGCAGCTTGAGGGGCTGCGTGGGGCCGGCGTACTTCCAGAACACCTTGTCGGCGTTCACCTCGGCGTACACGAAGTTGGCGTCGTAGGGACGCAGCACCTCGCCGCGCTTCACCGCCGCCACGGACGCGGGGCCGCAGCGGTACATGTCGTCGCTCAGCTCCTGCGGCGTCGAGTCGATCACCTGGGCGAACACAGGGGGGAATATTACTTTTTTTAAAGCCGAAAAGGGCAACATTATCTGGTAAAACACAGGACCCGGCCCTACTCACCTGCCAGCCAGCGTACTGCGGCGCGGGCTCCAGGTCGGGCCGCTGCATCCACACCTCGTTCCAGACGTGGAAGTTCCTGGAGGACAGTGGGTCGTTACATCTCCATCACGGTCGTCCGTTTGGCACGCAATTAGATTATTGTTGGCTTGGCTGGAAAATCCGCGCTTTGCCATTCCGCCGCTCCGCCTCACCAGATGGAATCACTGTTGAGCTCCTCCATGACCTTGCCCGCGTCGTTGACGAAGTAGTCCACCGTCAGGCTGTTCTGGGTGTCGTGGGCGCTGGCGTAGCACGTGATGACCCTGCAGGGGATGCCCAGCGCCCTGCACACTGGAAAATTAAGCGATTGAAAAAGGAAACGTGCCGTCTACACTGGTAGAACGAAGGCGGTGGAGGCCTTACGGGTGCCTAGGACGCCGGAGAAGACCCAGCACTGGCCGTACTTGACGGGCTTGTGGGTCTTGTGGAAGGTCTGCAGGATCTTCATGGAGCCCACCCACTTGGTGGGCGGCGTGCCCCCCTCGAACTCGCTCGTCCAGTTGCCCATCACGGCCCCGTTGTCGTCCGGCGAGTTGACCTTGACATTCGCCCGGCGTTCGGAAAGCGAAATTCATAAGGCCCATTGTTTTTGTTTGGCTGCTGTTGTTTCAGTGCGTGGTGCTGGCACTCACCGCGGCGGACAGCGCCCGCGCCGTCTTGACGGGGTCCGCGCGGCTGGGCGGCGACAGGCGGCCCACGCTGGCGGCGAGGTACAGCGTGCACTCCAGCACGTCGCGCTCGAACTGCGCGAACTTCCAGACGCTGGGCCGGATGCGGTTGTAGGAGCCGCGGTAGATGAGGCCCGAGTCGTTGAGCACGTACTCCTGCCGCAGGTCCTCGCCGTACAGGTACACCTGGTCCTCTGCCAACCGCCAAGGTCAGGTAGGTTAGGTTAGGCCGCGAAGACCTCTCTGCAGGTGAAATGGTTGTGGGCTACTGACCTGGGCACCAAGGGTTGAAGAGGATGAAGATGCCGCCGGGCAGCGAGTAGCTGAGCGCGCCGTCGCCCTGCAGCTTGGTGTCCACCTCCATCTTCCACTCGCCCACGATACACGTCACGGCGGGGGTGATCTGCCGCGGCGGACAAGGATGAGGCGCGCCGGAAAATCGGAAATTTAAATTGAAATAAATCCCGACTGGGCCTCGCGGCGCGGCGCGGCGCCACGCCCGGCGAGGCTCTCGAGGCGCGGCGCCGCGAGCCATGCAAATTGTCGTCTGCCGCGCGATTCCGGAGGTTCCGTTTCGTCGCTCCGTCTCTGTCGCGCTCATGCGGCGCGCCGTAGGCGTGCGAGAGAGACGGGACGCCCCTTCGGAAGCGCCCGGCTGCGCGCTGCGCCGCGCGGACACGGCGGACACGCCCGCCACTCACCAGCACGCGGATGTAGTTGCCCTCGGTGGCGTCCAGGACGGCGCTCCACTCGGCCGGCGAGTCGGCGATCTTCTCCAGCAGCGGCACGGCCACCAGGGTGCCCTGGCCGAAGCTGTTCTTGTCCGAGTCTGGCGGGGAACAACAGCATCGGAAGTTAACGCCAGCACGCCTCGTCGGTTGGTCGGCGCCTGCGAAGCCCAGGCTGGGCCGCCCCGCAAGACACGGCCGCTCGGCGGGCCGGCCCACCCTGGCCTTGGCAGGCGCTCCCGGCTCCAGGGTGGCGACGACGTAGACGACGTACCAGCGACGGAGAAGATGAAGCTGACGGCGTCCCGGTGGCGCTGGAAGGGCCTGCTGAGCCCCAGCGCCAGGGCGAAGGCCTGGCCGCGCCGCACCACCAGTCTGGCGTCGCGCGGCCGCTCCATCAGCTCGAAGCGCGCCGTGTTGTGGATGGCGCCGTTCTCCGCCAGGCACAGGTCCACGCTCACCACGGCCACGACGGACAGCGCGCTGCCCGCCCTCGGGTCCACCAGCTCGCCGTCCAAGTCTGCGGCAGGAGAGCTCTTTCAGCAAGCGGCACAGTGGGGAAGGTGTCCCTCTTCACCAAGACCAGCACGATGCTCAACACGGCCAGACGGCCAGGCAGACAGGCAGACAGACAGACAGACAGACAGACAGACAGACAGACACACAGACACGCAGATTAACAACCGTCGGCGCCGCCTGCTCCAGGCGTCTCCCGAAAACAAACTTGATTAGCATATTCATGGTGGAGGCTGGCTCGCGCGGGCTCCCGTCTAGTCTCCAGTCCGGCCTTAATCAGATTCCATTTCCCCCGTGACCTCATCCGGATGGACGACAGTCCCGAATCGCAGTGGTGTCTGTTACAGTGGCGTGGAGGGGGGGACTGCAATTTGTCTGTTTCGTCACTGTTGTGTCAGCCCCCTCCACCGGTGGGCCGCGGGGGGCGTGGCACCGCCTAATTCTATTTGGTTAACGTGGCCGCGCGGCTCCTATGCTGTCCGCGTGGGGCGCCCTCGCGGTCCTCGGCGATTCGCACCCAATAAAAAAAAAAAAACAATTCTCTACTTACTGGTCACCGGGAAGGTGGCCGTCGAGGGTGCGGGTACCCCCGGCGGCCGCAGTGGGGGCAGTGGGGGCAGTGGCGGCAGTGGGGACGCCACTGGGGGTGGAAGTGGGGGCGGCAACGGGGGCGACGTTGCCACAGGGAGAGGTACTAGTCGAGGTGGCACCGGCGGAGGAAGTAGTGGAGGCCGACGAAGTGGCAGCGGAAGCAGTGGCGTGGACGGGGACGCCGCCGCGTCGCTCCGCGGCACCGCCATGTCCCCCATGACGTGCAGGACTGACTGGACGACGTGATCCCGGCACCGCGGCGGCCACCACGCCGTCAAAGGAATGCCCCGCGAGAGCGCATTGCACGTGCACGTTCGCACACACTCGCACACGCATTCTCACCGCCCCGCGCACGCACCGCCACGCCGCCGCGCCGCGACATGCGTAAAGCACACGCAAGGCGTACCTAGCCTAGAGGCCGCCGAAGTCCATCCTTCGACGTCCACGTGCCCGTCGCCCGCCGTCGGCCATCGGATGGCAGGGCGCCGCCGCGCTCCAGTTTCACCGCGCGCCGGGATCGGACAAAATGACAAAATTGCAGAGCAACGCGACCGCCTCGTTGTGGGTGGAGTGGCCGGGCAGGCCAGGTGTGGCGGCCGCCTTCATGCACAGCCGCCTCAGTCCGAAGGGCCTCGCTCTGTCTCTCTCGCACTAACGGAGCGCTCCATCCGAGTGCGAGAGAGACAGAGCGACGAGGCGATCCTTTTCTGAATCAAGCGACTGGAGGTGGCCGATTGGCCGATTGTCTGACAAGCTGGTGACGATCATCATGACCATGTCATGACTGCCGGATTATAGCTTCATACGGCCAGGCGGTGTGCACCTGGGGAATGATGGGTGCAGTGCAGCGGGCGCACACACACACTCACACACACGCGGCGCGAAGCAGGTGCACTTAAAGGGAGCGCAATTTGCGCAGTTTGGACCGAGCAGCGGAGCAGCGCGCCAAAAGCAGAGCGGTGAGGTGACAGTGTGCCTTACACTGTTTACAATTTTTTCCCCACAAAAAGACCCGATTGTATTCTAGAGTGAAAAAGAGGTTCTGCCTAGAAAAAGGTTCGGCGGAGGAACAGGAGCGGATGAAGGAGCCATTCGTCGCTTTCATGGTCGGTTGTCCCCCCCCCCCCGGGGCTGCCCACGCCGCGTCCACGCGTGGACTCCACGCACGCCGGGCACGCCGTGCCACTGACTGCAGGTGTGTGACGTCACACTCACGTCGCCACACGTCAAGACCAAGGCCGAGGAAGGCCGCGCGGGGCCTGCAGCCGCCCAGCGACTACAAGCAGTGGCCGCTGGTCATCGGGGCAGGGCATGTCCGATGGCGATGTCGCGATATCTCGATATCGCCATCGAGATGGATGTCGTTCCCGCTCCCCGCGGGGCTGCCGAAAAGGGACGTCAGGCGGACCGCCGCGTCGACACGTCAAACAGCCGTGTCAACAGACAGACAACGAGTAGGCTGGGAGACGGTGGCGACGGACGGACAGACAGGCTCAGGTCCCGACAGAGACCGCGGCGTGCGGTGCGCCCGGCAGGCAGGCAGCCACCGAGTGCCTGGCGCACCCGTGCGTTGGGGTTGCCGCGCACCACGGCGCTCCGTCACGCCTCTTGCAGTGCACTCACCGTTGAAGGCCCTGCCCCGGCCGCGGGTGCCGTACGGGTACCGCGGCGGCTTGGGCAGCACGTCGGCGGGGTAGAAGTGGCGGCCGTGCGGCGGCCCCGCGCCGCCATGCCGGAAGAGGGCGCGGACCCTCTCGAGCAGGTTGCCGAACATGCCGCAGTCCTCGCACACCATCAAACGCAGGGGGCTCTTCGCCGGCAGCGAGTGACAGCGAGTGGCATGGACGCGGAGCCGGAGCTGCAGTGGCCGTGCTTGGCCTGCTGGGGAACACCAAACGCCTCGCGTCGCCAGGTGTGGTGCGGGCCGACTGGGCCACTGGGCCGCGGGGAAGTCAAGTCAGCTTCGGCAAGGCGCGTCCCGCTGCGTCCCGCCGCGTCCCCGCCCTCGTGCGCACCCACTCGCATTATGCGCCCCCGCCACGCTACGCCACGCCCTGCCGGCCCGACGTCGCTCCATCTCTCTCGCTCCCTTGGCAAGGCCCCGTGAGTGCGACGGAGACAGAGCACTGCTCGCGCTGCGGCCGCCCAATCGCGGGGAGGGAGGCCTCCAACGTGTCGCCTTCCATGCGCTGCAGCTGTAGAGTGCAGCGGACCGAGCATCAGGCCAGAGCTCTCAAATCAATGCACTTGCCACCTGCTGTCTTGGCCAGTCTTCGGTGAAGGGTTTCCAATGCTTATCTTATTTCTTTTCTTACTTATTTTTTATTTTTTTAAAATTTCTTACTTTTAAAAGCTATGGAGATCTGAGAATAGGTATGGGCAAGTAACGAGGTACACAGTCTTTTGTAAGCGGCCTTTATTACACAATAAACTCTTCAGTTATTTCTAACATTCACAGCATTTCATTAAACATCATTTGTGCTAACAGTCTATTCACATTCACCCTCGCCTGAACTAAAGATTACATCTTAAGACCAATGCAGGGAATGGCAAATTTGCCCTCTTGGTCTTGCAACTTGAGTAAAGACAGGGTTCTTCTAATGGGCAGCCTATAAAAGTTATACAAAGCTAAAATCTAATTATTTATTGATCACATTCTTATGGGGGAAAATTCATTTCAAGACCTATGCCAGTCTTTTATCTTAGAAAAAAAAAATTAACAGTACTTTTTGTTTAAAACATAACTTTCCACATAGAAAATTGAAGTTGTGTCATATATAAAACTCAGTAGTGAAGTAAAAACTTCAAAGGGCGTCTTGTATAAACACTGGTAAATTCAATGCTTTCTTTGTCCAGGTTGCTTCCTTGTTTTTTTCACTTCTAAAGGTGGGTCATCATCTTGCACCCTCTCTTGGTCATTGGCAGGGGAAATGGAAGCAATTTGGGGGGCCACAGTAACAGTACCTCCACAGCACATGTGACAAAAACAAAAATCACATACAAAATATATAAAATAAAGTCCAAGAACTCGCAAAATTACTACATCAAATGATGATGCAAAGATTCAGTTGTCGAATCCAAAACAATTATTTACAATGACAACAGAACGCACACAAAGAGCACCGCACCTGTGCTACACTAATGGGTGACTTACATATCAAAATAAACAAGGAAAAAAAAAAGGGAAAATCAGTCACTGATGGGGCAATGCAGCTTTCTATAGCTGTGCCAATTATTTCTGCTATGGTGAGCAAAGCTGCTAAGAAACGGTATCATATTGGACTTGGGACACAAATTTATAGCAGTGTACTTTCTAGTGATACATTGACTTATAAAGAATGCCACAAGTGAAGCAAAGCATTGGAATTATGACTACTGTACATGAAGCTTATTTTCAAGAGAAAGCATTGTGCTGCAACATGATACGTCTATTTCTTCCAAATGTAATCCTTAATTCTTGTATGAAGAACCTCCTTATTACAGAGTCTTACAACCTAATAATGTTAAGGAGTTCCGAATCCAGTGGTTGATTGTTGATAAAACTTGGTCAATCCATTCCTAGTATGATCTTTGGTTAAAGTCCATCTCCTGTTAAATCATGAAGCAACATATTAAAAAATTGAATTAAGGTTTAATTTTTAAATCAGAAAATTGGGATACTTTTAAAATGAAACATGAAAAATATTCTAATCTGAACATGATAATAAAGGAAGTATACTGGACATAACAGGAGGTTTCAAGAGCTCTTGAGATAACACTGATTTAACACTCAAGTCTGAGAAGTATGCTCTTAAGCGAGTAGAGAAAATGTAATTTACCTGACCCACAGGGTACTGGTGATTGTGATGAAGGAACTTCTGGTCCACTTTGGTTCTTCTTTCTGTGATCAGCATGTCCATAGCAGTTTTCACATTCATCATCTGATTCAGAGGATGAGCTTTCATCAAACTCACGGTGCTTCCTGTATATACAACAACCTGAAAAGATACACAAACAAATTAGAAGAAAAAGAGTATAAATTTATTATTATATCCAAAATCTAATAGTCTGTAAACTTACACTTTGATTTTCTCTTATTCATGTGCTCATTATCAACAGTGTCTGCATCCCACTTGACCTTCTTGTCGGATTTTGGTTTCCTTAATTTTAATCTTACAGCTGAAGGTTCCTGTCAACAAAACAAAAGAAGAAGAAAAAAATTAAATTAAAAAGTTCATTTTGAATTTTGAACAGCTCTCACATTACAGTTCCTAACTTCCTCACCAATATGGGAGTAGAATGCAAATGCTAAAAATGTCAGTCAAAGTCAATTTCAGGCCATCAGAATAATAAGGAAACTAAACCTTTTGGTTTGAGTGGTTTAATAATTAAGTACAAAGCCCCCAGAAAGATAATGGTTCAAAACATTTAAGAAATCTCAGACTTTGTATGTAGCATAGACTTTCAACAAATTTTAAAAGCCACTTAATAACAATAACAATACTTGAGGATAGAATAACCAACACCACAATAAGAAAATATAAATCTAGTAAGTACAAATGTTCAAGCACTTTAAAACACTAAACAGACAGAAAAGTTATGCAACAGCACCAATCTTAATAAGTCTTTCAATTTTTTCTTGTGAATAACCAAGTGTGGAGTGTAATATTTCATGGGTGTGCTGTCCCAGTGTTGGTGGAGGGGAGCGAATCTGGTTCTTAGCATTGCTGAATTTCACAGCGGGAGCAACAAGCTTCACTTTTCCAGCCACAGGGTGATCGACATATTGGACAACTTTGGTAGCCTCAAGATGAGGATCATTGAACACCTTAAAAAAAAAGGAAGGTAGAAATTAGGCACACTTATGTCACATGTACCTTAAGTTCAAAATTTAATTGATAAATTTTAAGAGCTTCTATGGAAAACTTACATCAGCAATGCTGTTAATTGGTCCATAAGGAAAGGAGGCACCCTCTAATAATTTTAGCCACTCATTTCTGATTTTTGTTCGAAACTTGTCCTTTAAAATAGCCAAAAGGACTTTCCTATTCTTGACTCTCAGTTTATTAGTAACAAATTTACTGTCATTTGCAATGTGTGGCAATTCAAATCGATGGCACAAATCTACGAACTGCTTGTCACTGCCTGTTCCAACTGTGATGAAACACCCATCCTTGGTCTCAAGAGCTTCATAAGGGACTATGCTAGGATGGCTGGTGCCATGTCTCTCAGCTTCAACACCGCCATTTAAATAGTTTGATCCAATGTTAATTAGAGATGCTACTTGAGTAGATAGTAAATTAGCGTCAATCTTTTGGCCCAGGCCAGTTTGCAATCTTTGCATGAGGGCAGCCATGATTGCCCCATGTGCATACAAGCCAGTCATTATATCAGTCAGAGCAACACCAACTTTACACGGCTCTCCATCTTGGGGTCCTGTAATGTGTAACAGTCCACCCATTGATGCGGCAATAACATCATAGCCAGGTCGATTGCTGTACGGACCATCAGGTCCAAAGCCAGAGATCGAACAATAAATAAGATGCGGAGCCACAGCCTTGAAGTCTGCATAGCCCAAGCCCAATTCATCCATTTTACCAGGGACGAAATTCTCGACAAGAACATCAGCCTTCTCAGCCAGTTCGAACAAAATATTCTTCCCTTCTGTCGACTTCATGTCGATGCATAAGCTTTTCTTGTTTCTATTGACAGCCATAAAGTAACAGCTCTCGTTGGTGTCACCAATGAAAGGAGGACCCCACTTCCTGCACTCGTCCCCTTCGATAGGCCTCTCAACTTTGATAACTTCAGCGCCAAGGTCCCCCAGGACCATGGTGCAGTAGGGGCCAGCCACTATGCGTGTCAAGTCCAAAATTCGTACCCCTGCCAGGGGATCAGCCTGAACCTCACTTGAAAGGCCTCGAGACAGTTTCAAAGCACGAGGATGGCGCCTAAACCCTACGAAAGGCGTCGTGGACCGATATAGGCACCTAACCAAACTTAGCAAGGGAGAGGCCATCATTTTGGGTCGGATGTTGACGACAGACTGATAAAGTGAGCACCGGTCCATCAGGCCGTCAGGTGGCAGCGAGTGTGTGTAAACAGGTAGCGTTCAAGGCCATTCAACGTACTTGCGGTGTTCTCTCGTCGCCACTTTCGACTACTGTCACAGCTCCGTCGCAGGCAGGTTGCGCAGGTCTCTCCGCCATTCTCTCCGAACTGTCACTCTGCTCACGGTTCCAATTTACGGCCCACTACAGAGCCAAACTGAGCAACGTCTAGGGCGAAAGCGAGTACAACGTGTCGTGACAAGTACCCGAAAAGCTGATCGTTCACTTCAAAATGCTCACGACGTGATGGGGGGGCGAGGAAGCCAGTCTGCGCAGTTTTGCAACAACAAAAACAAATGAGAAACGATTTCACGATTTCGGCTGCAGCTGAGTGGAGTGTGTTTGTTGTCGGTCGATGTTTTAGTAGGTCGTTTGGAGACTTTTCGGTTTTGGTTTGATCTTTGACTCAAGTTTGGTGAAAGATGGCCTGATTAGACAATGAATCTTTCCCTGAAGACACTTTACTCGCCCTTCCGGAGAAAGGACTGCCCGTGTTAGCGGTCCATTCATCCTGCTTCCCGTGGTTTTACTGTGCCATGGCTTCAGGCTCAGAAAATGTATGTTAATTGGTTTTAAAAGCCTTTCTGTTGCTATTCATGTTTCCTCACGCGTGCCTGATGTAGCCTCGAAATTGATCTGTATATTTGACCTGACTGTGATTGTAATTTTATTTTCAGCATTTAACATCTGTCATTCCAGTTCCGAAGGATGAATCGAGTAGCAACAATGATATGCAGGACAAGCGCCTGTGGATTGGAAACCTAGATCCTCGTTTGTCTGAGTAAGTATCTCAACTATTGTCCAAGGTATCGACAATTCCCTTTTTGTCGAGTCTAGCTCTTCTTGTTGCATTACCGAACTAACCGTTTGCTGGCTTTCCCTCTACTGGTATAACCTTTTAAAACTCCTCCAAAAACATGGCACGATTGAGAAGTTTGATTTGCTATTTCATCGATCTGGACCATTGGCTGGTTTTCCACGAGGATATGCATTTTGCACTTTCAAAAACACTGAAGATGCAACATCAGCCATGCAACATCTGGATGGACAACTTGTTGGTAACAAACACGTAATTGTGCGCTGGGCTCACTCAATGAGCAAGGTAAGCTTTGTCTGTCAGAAACAAACCATTGAATGGAGAAGAAAAAAGCTAGTGATACCCTTGCTTTGCTCTGCAGGATGAAATGGAAAGCCGGCCAAAAGCAGAGCTGACTATACCTGTCCTAGCTGGTGCAAAGTCATCAAAATCTGAGAAGAAACCTCTCAGGTAATACAACTTTAGTTACCTCAATTTTGTTTTTACAGCTTGTGGTTATGAAAAAGTCTAATTCTCCATTTGTGGTTGTTTCAGTCGGAAAACAGCTATACAAGCTATTGAAGCCAAACTGAGACTTATGGAGCAGACTAATGTTGTTGAAGAATTTGAGGTAAATGACTCACCAGCTGCACTAAGGAACAAGTCACATGTTTTGGTTCAAGCCCAAGTTGGTTTAGATCCAAGCAACAGCAAGTCCTCCCACTCACGATCTTCAGGTCGTAAACATGATCGCAAACCATATCACAGAGGACACCATCATAGATAATTTGTCATTCAACTATCAGTGTGAAATTTAGTCATACCCTGCCAAACACTTAAATATAAATCAACTTCAAAACACCCACCAATTCTAATCAGGGCCCAATGCATATTGGTAATATTGTAAGGGACACAAATATGACTGAAACAATAACATTAGAGTAATTCTACTACTTGTTGATATTTGACAAATAAGATTGCCAATTTATTAGACACCTCAGAAACATACTTAATGATCATTCATTGTTCATATCATATGTACACATCATTTACTTCCCTCTTCATCAGATTTGAATTACCTCATGATCTCTGTATTATTTATTGACTTTGCACCATTTACAAGGTCTTCCTCTCTGATCCAGTCTTGTAATAAAGAAAATTTTTAGTAGATCAAGTATTTGATGCATCTTTGTTTTTCCTAAGTCAACACAGCAGTTCTATCTGGTACACAATCATTTACCAAAACATTAATATAAAAGTAGACACAAGGACAAGGAGAATTTAAGATGGTACACCATCATCTCTGTCAAAGAATACATATTTGCCCCGCATGTGTTTGGGTAAAGTAACTAGCCCTGAACATGGAACCTGGCCAGGAATTCTACAAATACAACTTTGCTTGCATCCATAGCCAAAATTAGCTGGATTGACTTTTACTTGTTTCGCAATTGCTTCAGCTTGAAGAACTGACCTGTAATGGGACATAAATTATAAATAAGTTGTTGGCAATATGAAATTGATGTAACAGGCAGCATTACTTACGCAGTTTTACATAGTGTGCTACACAGGTGATCCAAAATCTCCTCGTTCTCTTTACCATCTATATCCACAACCAAATCTTTGCCATCATCTAACCAAACCAGAAAATGTGTTAGAACTGAAAAATATTTGCTTGAAAAACGTCAGAAGTAAGTCATGTCACCTTACCAAGAAACACTCTGATGAATGGAGATGGTGTCATGTTTCTAAACGTTAAAACCTGAACATCAGGATTTTTGTACTGAACTTGTGGTAAACACCAAAATACGAAGTCTCTGAAACAGTAAATCACACATAACAAATGAACCAGCAGGGAAGGCAGTAGAGACTTAAGATGACATAATCATGACACAGTCGCTTGACTTGCCGGTACTAGTACAAGCATAAGCTTAAGACACAATTCATATCTCACCTGGCACCTTTGTGATGGTCTCCAAAGGTATTGTAGTTCACCGAAAATATTTTAATTTTATCTTTTAAAACTATTCTCCCAGCGTTCAAATATTTCAGCGTTCTCCGTACAGGAGCTGCACCTTTCATGAACGGCATTTTCACTGGTTTGTCGGAAGCTTCTTCCAAAAATTACAGTGTGAAACTTTCGAAGAAAGACATGAACGTCTATATAACCTCAATTTGTTAACATATCTTCTGCACCTCGTCTGCTAGTATTGTGGTGTGAATAGCGACATTATTGACAGATATCGTGTGTGTAGTTCAAGGTGTAGATTGAGATTTATATTCACATTGAAGGTTGCTTTCTGTGATCTACGAGGCTAGCAAGGCAATAAGTATGAGAACTAGTAGTCTGTAAGGTTTTTTTTTCTGCGCAATCTACAAGACACGAAATAGCTTGTCCATGACGTCGTCCACCATGGGGACCTCCAAGGACTCCGCGGGCAGCGCCGGCTACTCCACAAAGACTGACCCCATGATTGCGTCCACGGCGGGCGCGGGCAGCATCGCCTGCTCCTCTCTCAAGTCCGACCCCCCGGGTAGCAGTTTGGAGGGGTCTTCCCTCATCTCGTCATCCGTGATCGGCTCACTCAATGGCGTGGAGGACAAGTCGGCAAAGCTGGCATTGTGCTTTCCGCGTCCGTTCCCATTTCCCCGTGCTTCCCCTGCTACGCTGCTACGCGACCAGCCGCCTGCTACCGCATGCTACCGCCTGCGAACGGACGGGTAGGCATCACGCTGCACAGACCTGCTCTACGGGCCGACGTACCTGCCAGGCGCTCCGAGGGGCTGCATCGCTTTAGTGGTCAATTTCGGGTTGTGTTAGAGGTATGAGCACAGGAGAGCAAAGCGTGATTGACTCTGTAAGTTTACCATAAGTTTGTTGAGGGTTACTAAGCCTTTTCTTGCTTCTATTTTGAAAGCGTTCACCTTGTGTCTGTCTAACTGATCCCTCATTCAGTATGGCCCCCAGAGAAAAATGGTCACATTCAATTGTATTCCATGCAGTTTCTCTGCACTTTTTGTTAAAAAAAATATGTGGTGACATAATTTTTATGCTATACAACGCACTTGTGAAATGTGGTGAATACTTGATCACGTATGATGTTTTCTGTCCTTAATAGATCTTTTAATGATTTTTAATTAAAAGAAAAAGTCTACTTGCAGAAGACAAAAATGTTTATCCTGAGTTTTCCTAGACAATCTATGCTGTAGATGTACAATAACAATCTTTGGTGGCACAGAAAATATTTTACATAGGCCTTTATAAACAGAACACATAATCTTGGACAGGTTTTCTACAAAGGAGGTTGTTTGAAATTAAGTGATTGTTGAAATTTTACTACCAAACCTTAAGGGTAGATTTGTGAGAAAACTAAATTAAGACATGAAATTCAGTTACCTGCAGATACGAGGTCAAACAGAATTTTACATGTTTACATCTGCAAGTCAGTTTAACATCAGTTTTATTTCATTCTTTGGTAAATTAAACCAAATGCCACTTTAGCTTAAGGCACATGAGGACTAGTACCAGGTAAGATACTGTCATATTTTCTCCACTTGTAATTTTAAAAAGAACTTAGCTGTTAAATCTTAGCAGTTGCTGATGTATATTATTTTTATCGAAGGTCGTAAGGAACAATTGAGATGAAGTACTTATTGCATGGCCCTAATCACAGTTTCCCATAAAACTTCCAGTAAAGGAAGATACAAAGAGACTTACACTTATGAAACTTAAAAAAAATAAAGACATAAAAACATCATGAATATTAACTGGGATCAGAACAAGTCTGTTGTATAACTATTTCATGGGCTCAAGGTTTCTACTCACCCAGATTTGTACTTTAGTGACTATAGCTCGTTGAAGTGACAACTTAGCTCAAAAGTAAGCGTATCTATAGAGTTTTTACGACTCTACAAAAAGTTAACACAGAAGTACATAGGGAAATTACTTTATAGTCCTAATAGATTTTAATTGCATGGCTTTTTTGGTTCAGGTATTGATGAGGTACTTGATACACCTTCCAGGACGATCAATGACATTATTTCCCCTTTTTTATTTCTTTAAAAAACATTAGTCAGATGGATTGAATCAGTTATTGTCATACTTGTATTTCGAACTTTTTATCTGAAGCGATAGTTTTACTAAGCTCCGCTAAAACTGCTAATTTTTATGACAAAAATTTGCAATTGAAATTGTTTTTTCTTGAACATTTTTCTTTTTTTCCCTCAGACTAAGAAATAAATGAATGATCGACATGTGAGTATTTGTGCCACTTCATCTGAAACAAATGATGCGAAAGCATGAGTCTACTTAGAAATCTCTTTTACCAACTAACTCAACAGAGATGTTTAATGCAAACATTTCTGCTAGAGTCAGGCTTCGGAATAACTAACTTCTCCTAAACAGCGGAAGTCAGGTACGTAATCATGCACTTTGCATCTTATGGCATCGGCATCACCATTGTTTAAGGAACTTTCTGTAAAGAAATCCCAGCAATGATCTGCCGAGGTTTGCATCAAGTTCATCTAACATTGCCTACAAAATTCATACAGCACAGAGAAATAGAAAATTTGAATTAGACCAACACATTTGATGCAGTTGCTCATCTCCCAAGCTTCAATCAAGTTTTGGATCAAAGTCTTCCTCTCATTTTCAGCGACAAGCCCCGCTTCCCGTTGTAGATGGAGCGAAGTTTTTCGATTCGATTGAACGCGTTTGCCTCAAGCGGCTCGGAGTCACTGACAGCACGCTTCACCCGTACCACGCTACGCCTGGTCGAGAAGTCTGTGCGTCTCACTGGGTGTCCGTGTGTCCACTTTGGCCGGGGAGGACTCTTCGGGCATGGTGATCCTCACGCCCTCCAGCAGCTTGGCACTCTCGGCGGGGTCGCCGTCGTCCTCGTCGTCGGCCACGTTGTTGGGCGTGGGGCTGGGCGCCTGCACCCCCAGGCCGCCACTGAGGCCGCCGCCGAGGCCGCCCCCCAGGGTGTCGGGGCCCGGCAGCATGGCGGTGCCGGAGTGGCCCGACAGTGCCCCGGGCGACGCCAGCGGGGGCGCGTGTGCCTGCGGGGTGAGCGCCATGCTGCCGGGCCCTGAGGACGCGCCGTCGCCGTCGGGCCGGATGCTGCCGCCGCCGCCGCCCTTGCCGGTCAAGTAGTACGTCATGAGCTGGCCCTTGCCCTTGACGGACACCATGCCGCGCTGCTCGAAGTTGTAGCCGAAGTTGCGCAGAATGTTGCACGTCTCCTCCGTCACCTGCAACGTGGGCGTCAGGGTGATGAAGGGTTCAAGGGGGACCAAGCGCGCCGTCGTCGCCGCCTACCTGGATGCAGCCCGCCCTGCCCGTGCTCTCCATGCGCGAGGCCACGTTCACGGTGTTGCCCCAGATGTCGTAGTGCGGCTTCCTGGCGCCGATGACGCCCGCCGTGATGGGCCCGTGGTTGATGCCCATCTTGAGCACGAAGTGGTTGAAGCTCTGCTCGTTGACGCTCTGCAGGGCCTTCTTCAGCTCGAAGGCGAACTCCACGAGGAGCGCGAGGTGCGCCCAGCGCACCGTCACGGGGTCGTCGTCCTGCATGGCCAGAGAGCAGAGTGAGTTTGCAGTGGCGCCAACCCTGCCGAGCGGCACTCTACGGTGTGCCACGTGAGTGCGACAGAGACAGAGCGACGAAACGACTCTCCGGGGTCAGCGCAGCGAGTACTCACCTTCACTTTTTTCGTGGGGTTGATGCCGCTGGCGGCCATGTAGGTCGAGCCGATGGTTTTGATTTTGATGATGTCCTGGAACTGCGGCCACTCCAGAAGCTGCCGGAGAAACGAGAGTTAACGATAAAGCAGGCTATCAGTCGACCGATGCGGGGCTGAGGGGCGACCAGAGGTGACGCCGCCGACCTACGTACCGCGTCAAAGTCCGAGATGACCTCGTTGAGGAACCGCAGGCACTCCAGGCCCTGGTTGTTGACGCTCTCCTCTGAGTAGAACTCTGCAACACACAAACGTGAGCTGTCAGCACTCGGATCCGAAACACCTAAAGACCGGTGGAGGCAGTCAAAATCTCGAACGAGTTTGGAGCTCCAGAGTCGCTAAATGGGACTCGAACCGAATGTGTGACCCCACCAATGGATTGGTCTCCGAACGAGGAATCCATTGGTGGGGTCACACGTTCGATTCGAGTCCTATTCAGCGGCCCTGGAGCTCGAAACGCGTCTTGAGTTTTGGCCGCCTCCACCTGTCTCCTGGCCCACTGTACGCTCGTGGAAATTTTGTCCTGTGGCAACACTGACCGGAGAAGTTGGGCATGGAGGCGAAGAGCACGCCGACCTCGGCGAAGCTGTCGGCGTACAGCTCCTCGTGCTGGCGGGTGCGCTGGCGCAGGAAGTGCGCGGCGACGTGCTGCGGCAGGATGTTGTAGACCAGCGCCTCGTTGCGCTGCCGCATGTCCGCCGCGAACTCGCGCTGCTCCTCCACCTCCGTGCGCCACAGGAACAGCACGCGCAGCGCCTTCTCCATCTGCGGGCAGCGAGCGGCGCGGGTTCAAATACCGGCGTCGGCGGCGCTTTTTTTTTCTGGTGGAGCGGGTACTCACGTGGCGGCACAGGAAGCCCAGGGCGATGGTGACGACGACCAGCACGCCGGAGAGGGTGAACTTGCTGGGGACCAGGGAGCTGCGGGCAGAGGGAGGGTTAGTTAGACCGGGCCCGCCTGCGCGGCTTCGTCGTGGACCCACTTCTAGTGCACCCACTTCCAGTGCACCCACTTCCAGTGCACCCACCTGGCGTAGCTGCCGCGCTCCTCCTGGTCCAGGGCGGTGCCGACCACCAGCACGTTCATGGCGCAGTGTGCCAGCGCGACCAGGGACAGCAGCAGCACCTTGACGAGGTGCGACAGCTGCGCGGGCAGCGACGACGCCACCAGCACCAGCACGCAGAAGTACGAGAAGTAGGAGGGGAACAGGCAAGTCTGTCCCGGCGTCTGCGGGTTCAGGTTGTCGCGTTAGTCGGACGAAGAATGAACAAACTGGCGGGGAGGCGTGGGTCCGTACCGAGCCGGTGCAGGCCACCGTGTAGACGGTGGCGGCCGGGGCGTTGGGGGCGGCCGTCGACGGCAGGGCCACGCTGCCGTTGGCGGGGATCGCCACGCCCTCGTAGTCGGTGCAGTTGGCCTGCGCGGGCACCGAGCACGACACCATGTCCACCACGTTGGCCGCGCCCAGCACCAGCACCACCACGATGGCGAGGAAGCGGCGCACCCACAGCGTGCTGTTCATGGACTCGGAGCAGCGCACCAGGGCGGAGGGGAAGGCCTGCGGTGCGGGGGTGAAGTGAATCAGTCGCGGGTTCGATCCCCGTCAAGGGCGGACGGCTCAGCAGGTTTCGCTTACCTTCGGCAAGGCCTCGCCCACGATGCATATTGTGAACAGGACCAGTAAGATGATGCCCAGGATGAACGACATGATGTTCATCGTGTCCCTGGAAGAAAAAGAATTTGAATGCTCGACGCACCCCTTGCGGTCTGCGCGGCGCGGAGTTTGTGCCCCACTCACCTCGGCAGCACTATCATCTGGGCCAGGGTCGTGAGCACCAGCGCGATGGGGCAGCCGACGATGGACATGGAGCTGTTGGTCTCCTTGTGGTACTGGTACTCCTGCTCCTTCTTGCTGTCCACGAAGGCCAGCGTCAGCAGCTTGGTGGCGTTCGAGAGGTCCCTGCAACGACCACCCCGTCATTCCTGCACTAAGTTTCTATTTCCGTCGGCGCGTCGGCCTTTCGATCGAGGCCGTAGAGGCCGTGCTGGATGCCACCGCCCCGCGGAGTGAGGGTAGGCAACACGGCGCCCTGAGAGTCCGCCGGGCTTGCCTACCCCCGAGTCCGCGGGCGCTCCAGCCCTCGCTCCAGCCCTCGCTCCAGCCAGCCGTCCACCAAAACACTCACTTCTGGCCGTCTCTGCTCATGAGTTCCTTGCGCAGGCGCTTCTTGAAGTCCTCCGAGTCCTCCTTGTCCCTGCCAGTCTCCGCCAGGACCCGCGTCTCGTCCTGCGCAGTCCGTCGCATTAGCCCGACGAATCGACAGTGAGGTCTACGATTTCTAGAGCAAATGGACGGGGACTCACGTTGAAGTGGTCGTCCCCCTTGGCCGCGTCGTGCGTGGGGTCCTCGGTGACGCCGCCGTTCTGCGGCTCGTTGTTCTCGCCCGCGTACTGCGTCAAGGACAGGCAAGGGTAGTCAAGGACAGTCAAGGACACCAGGCGGTGAGTAAGACAATGCCCCCAGAGCAGTCTTTCTTTCTCGGCCTTGGAAAGTGGGGCGAGCTTACCGGCTTGAGGATCTTGGTGATGAAGTAGGTGGTGATGTTGGCGGCTCGCAGCATCTCTTCCCGCTTCTCGCCGTACGCCCGCTCCGTCTCGAACGCGCCGTCCAGGAAGCCGAGCGTCTTGTTGGAGACGTGGACTTTCCTGTCGGGGAAGGCGTTCGTTCGTTTGTTTGTTTTGTAAACAATGAGACAAAGTGTGGAAGGGGGACAGAGATACCGACCCCGCCATGCCGCTGCTCTCCATCTTGTTGGCCAGCTCGACGTCCTTGGAGTACACGTCGAACTGCCACTGCCGCTGGCCCAGCACCCCCGCCAGCACGGCGCCCGTGTGGATGCCCACTCGCATGTCCACGGGGGAGTTGGTGGTCTGCTGCACGTACCTGTGGGGAAAATCGAAGGGTAGCGTAGTGGGTTGTGAACTCGCCCGCCGACACTCGGGTCAGAGGTTCGATCCCCACCCCGCGCACGACTTTGTTTTTCCGGCAATTTTTTTTCTTGCCCCTATTGTTTCCTTTGTGGCACCCACTGTGGGGTAAAAGGTGGAATAAAAGAAGGGCGAAATAAAATGTGACCGAGTGTTGCGCCCTCAGAGGCGGCGTCCGTCCTCCAGCGTATACAGGTGGCTAGCGCCCCTGCGGGGTAGGCCGCACCAGCGCACCCAAGTCTGGCGTGTTGCCTACGCTCGACTTGGCGGGCGCCCGGTGGGGGTAAGGGATTACTGCTGGAGCTGTCTGTCTGTCCGTCTGTCTGTCTGTTTGTCTGTCTGTCTGTCTGTCCGTCCGTCCGCCCGCTCGGTTGCTGCGCATGTGCAACCAAAGCTGCCCTCACGCACCGAGTGGATGGAGCGGAGCGAGAGAGAGAGGGGGGGGAGGCTTTCAGCAGGCAACAGATTCGGACGCTTGCGGCTGTCAACGACCTGTTCATTGAATATCTCGGTCACGCCAGTCTCCACTGTTCCAGGGGGAGGGGGAGGGGAGGGGGAGACGTGACGCCACGATCGGGCGAGCAGAAGGGGGAGGGGCGGGAGGGTACTCCGACTCGCCCTCTGTCAGGCAGCGGAAGCATACGGACGGCATGGAGGTGAAACGTGCGGTGTGTGTGTGTGTGTGTGTGTGTGTGTGTGTGTGTGTGTGTTTTTGCGAAAGTCAGACTTCACGTCACGAACGGCGCAGCCCCAAAAGTTGAGGCACAGGAAGAGGGCACAAGAGACGGTCCAGATGACCTGGGACTCTCAACCTTTCCAATTGGCTTTTTTTTCGTCGACTGTGCGGAAAAATGGTATAGAAGCAGTCGGACCCGAGAGTGCGCCCGTCCACGAAGTAAGAGAGATAGACTGCTAGGGAAAGAGAGACAGCACGGTCCGCGAAGCGATTTGGTACGGCAAGCTGTGCCGGCCTGGCCAAGGGCCCGCCCCGCCCCTCGCCTGATCGCCGGCAGTTGCACGGCACAGCGGGCTGATTCCGGACAGCGCGTTCGCCCGTCTCTCTCGCACTCATGCAGGGTGGCGGGTTGCTCCGTGAGTGCGAGAGAGACGGGACACTGTTCGGAATGAGCCGCGCAGCCCCTGGGCCGAAACACAAACATGGCTGGCGGTGCGAAATCAAACACATGCCGCACCCTGTGCAGGCAGCGCTGCTGCCTGCGAGGCGTTTGGGCGAGTGAGAGAGACAGAGTGTTTGGAATCGCCTTAGTAATTACTGCTATCACTGTCACCCCGACACTCGCCTCTTTTCCTGTTGGACTGAAATACTCACTTGATGGCCTCCACCATGGACAGCCCCATGTGCACGCACAGGATGGCGTGGTCCGGCCGCTCGATCGGCGCGCCGCTGATGCAGTAGTAGCAGTCCCCCAGGATCTTGATGCGAAGCTGCTGGTATTTCTGGGAGACAAACAGGAAACAACAAGATGAAGGCACACGTCCAGCAACAACAGTCCCGGAGCTTCCCCCTTCCCCTCCCGCCGTGTGGCCGTCGCCGTGGCCACCTCGGCCGCCTCGGTGTTCGGAATTCCTCTTCCTCGACTCAATTTGAGCAGGTCGGCCAGCGCCCGGTTAATTGGAGGGGGGCAGAGAGAGAGAGAGAGAGAGAGAGAGAGAGAGAGAGAGAGAGAGAGAGAGAGAGAGAGAGAGAGAGAAGGGGGAGGGGGCAAGGAAAAGGCCGGTCTTTCTTCGGCTGGAACGCACGAAGAAGAGAGAAGGAGGAGACTGGAGTAATTTAGTTGACCCTCATCCACCCTCCGCCGCTTTTTAACCCCCTCCCCCTCCTCCCCTCCTCACTGTCTGCTAATGGTCGGGTCGGCCGCTAACGCGCCCCGCCGCCGAAACAATGAGGCCAATATTTGTCGGGGGATAGGATGGGAGGGGGAAGGGTGACCTGGTGCCGGCGATGGCGTCCCGACGTCTCCGAAGGCGGAGAAGAGCAGCGGGGGAGGGGAGGGGGAGAGGTTTGGGACGGGGTGGGCGCCTGGGCTTCGAGGGTCAAAGAGTCATCTCGGGCCAGGCTGCCTGCCTGGCTGCCTGCCTGGCTTGCTGCCTGGCTTGGTGGCTGCCTGCCCGCCTGCCCGGCTTAACTCGAAGGTCGCCGTTGTTGTAACAGCGAGCGCGCTGCTCTTTGCATGGGACTGGAAAATGGAATGGAGTTGGTCGCGCCGCTCAGATTGGATTGTCTGCCCCTCCCCCTTTTCGCCCGTTTTTCGCAGTGTGGGTCAAGTGACACGCCCTTCCCACCCCAGCCGGTGTGCACACACAGGGGCCGGGCGGGCGCACACACACAGACACGGTTTTCGCGGCACACACATACTCGTACTCACGGCATCGCGCCGCACCGCGCTGCTGCGTGTTCCACGGCACAGCCGTGCAGCCTCCCCCTCATCGCCCAAATTCCTCTATTACCTCACAAAGTGGCGGTCTCTAATTTGGCGCGGAACGGACCGACAGGGGGGCAGACAGACCGACAGACGACACAATTCATTAATCACCGCAGTCCGTGGGAACGAAGGCGTGAAAATCCGGAAAAGTGCGCCTTGCCCTCCCCCTCCCGTCCCTCCCTCCCCGTGGCTAGGTGCTCCCCAGCCCGGCTCTCCTTTTGTCCCGTTTTAATCGGCCCTTTTTGTCGGCCGGAACAATATTGCACGCGGAGGCGGCGGTCCGTCTGACTCTAAACACTCCCGGTGGAGCCGGCTACCCCCACCCCCACCCCTTCCCCTTCCACCCCAAAGCCTCCGCCCGTTTCACAGGTTTTACACCTGGGATTCCACCGCGTCGAGCCCCCGCAGTCGCCGCCATTTTGTCTGTCCCGCTTTCTCTTTCTCTCTCTCTCTCTTTCTCTCTCGCGTCTCGCCTTTCCCCGCTGTTGAGCTTTTCCGACGCGCGAAACAAAGACGCGTCACTTCCACGCGTTTATGTGTGACAGTTTATTCTGCTGAGCCAGGCGGGGCCAGGCGGGGCCAGGTCGGCCACTCCCGCCCCCTTTTGGCTTTGACGCTCGCCCCCGCCAACTCCGTCATCCCCTACAGTGGGTCCGGTCCCTGGGCTCTCCGACAGACCACAGGGCGCCCCGCCCCGCCCCGCCCCGCCCCGCCGGCGTGGAGCACCTCTGGGAGGCCCAGAGCCAGACAGAACCCCCCGCGAAGACCGCAAATAGCTGGCTCGCCCATTTGTCGCTTCCTCGGAGTCGCAGAGCTAGCAGCGCCTCGTCATACCAACCCACGCGCTCTAATCACCCACAGTAAAATAAATTTATGAAAACTGGACATTTGTCGTTTTTGAAAGATAAGATAGGCGGGCTTACCTCAGAGAGACGGTCGAACCTGGCGAAGAGCTCGTTGAGGATCTTGACGAGGTCCAGCGCGTTGTACGTCGACGAGATGGCCGTGAAGCCCACGATGTCAGCGTACAGGATGCTGCAGAGCGAGAGAGCACGCAGTTATGGGGACGGTCGTTTAGCTCGTTTTGGTCTCGGATCAGAAGCAGTGGTCGCCCAAAGTGGGCCCGAATCAAGGTTCCGGTGATGATCGTCAGTTGAATGCGACGCCTACCTGACGTTCTCGTGCCTGCTCATGTAGATCTTCTTGAACTGCGTGTCCAGCCCCGAGCCCAGGTCCTCTCGCATCTGGACGGCGACGTGCTCGGGAAGCACCGAGAGCAGCAGTCGCTCCTGGAACATTCCATTAAAGTTTTCAGTGCGGAAAGGTCCAACCGAAGCCAGTCGCTGGAAGTTGGACAGCAAAATGCTCACCTGCTCGGCGGACTGTTCCTCGATGACCAGCTTGGTCTTGAGGGACTTGCGAGTGTCCTCGAAGGCGCGCCGCTGCTGCTTGTCCATGATGGAGTAGGAGGTGAGGCCCAGCACGTTGGAGGCGGCCAGCAGCACGGCGTTCGCCACCAGCTGCAACAGAGAGGCGTCAGCACACCGCCGCAACGCCGCAACGCACAGTGGGCCAGAAGACCGGTGGAGGCGGCCAAAACTCTAAACGCGTTTTGAGCTCCAGAGTCGCTAAATGGGACTCGAACTGAACGTGTGACCCCACCTATGGATTCCTCGTTCGGAGAGCAATCCATTGGTGGGGTCACACGTTTGATTCAAGTCCCATTCAGCGACTCTGGAGATCAAAACGCGTTTAGAGTTTTGGCCGCACCGGTCTTCTGGCCCACTGTGCAACGCCCCGGGACACGTGACAACTGCACGCCGCCCCGCCGGCCCCTCCCCGGGACCTCATTAAAACGAAGAGGACAGGGGGAGGGGGTTGCAGGGCGTGCCGAGAGGGGACGACGAGGGGTTGTTATTTCAGGGCGGGCCGACGGCAGGCCGACCGGCCTAGGAAAGGACGCGACTGTTTAAGGCCAGATCCCTTTGCAGCGCTTTGGCGGGGCCCTACCCGGCCGATCGACGGCGAACAACAGCGTGACCGCGGCAGCAGGGACGTCAAAATTAGCGGTGCAGCGGACGAGTGGCTGTGCGGCGGGGGCTGCGGTCTGCGACGTCAGCAGGGTCTGTGCCTGTGCCTGGGCACGGCCTGGGCACGGCCTGGGCCAGCAACTGTTGCTCGCCTGCTGGTCGCACGGCTTGCCTTGCCTTTGGCTTGGCTTGCGTCCTGCTCCCGCTACGTGCCTCGACTCCGGACTCCGTGTACCGGAGTGCAGCCATGGGAGAGCGGGGTGACACTGTAAGCAGGCCGTGCCGTGCCGCGCCGTGCCGTGCCGTGCTGTGTGCGATCCTGCGGCAGGGAACGCGACGTGCAGCTTCCACTTTTTTTGCTTCTCTCCCAATGCAATTTAACATCGCCGCGCTGCCGCCGCATCCACCCCTGGCGGCGGCATGTTCACAACGCCTAGTCTCTCTCTTCCTCCGCTCTCTCTCTCTCTCTCTCTCTCTCTCTCTCTCTCTCTCTCTCTCTCATGTGCACCGGCCTGGTTGTTTTTCCTGTTGCCTAAAGCCCTGGATTAAAACTCAGTGCGGACCGCCGCCGCGGCCCTGCCCCGCCAAGCTGCCAGTCAACTCCCCGCCCGCACCTGGCTGCCTGGCTGCCTGCCTGCCTGGCTGCCTGGCTCGCTCCCAGCCCCGGCCAGGCACTTTATCGCATGTACAATGTAATGTCATCATGCCGCAGCAGGCTTCTCACAGACACGCTCACACACACAGACACACACACACAGACACACACACGCCCGCACAAATTTTTCGAATTCCCCCGCGATGCTATATCGCGTCGTTTGAAATACCGTGGCGAGGCTTTGCCGTTACTGTGTAACAACAGTTAATAATTATTATTAATGACATGAATCAATGCGTTTGCCAGCCGCTCCACCCGAGGCGGGGCCCCGCGGGGCTTGGGGCTGTGCTGTGGCGGTCGCTCCCTTTCGCCCCCTAGATTTCGGATGGGATGCCCCAACCCCCCTCTCCACAGCTCTCGGCCCTCGCGGATCGCGGGGCTGCGGTCCTACGCGGTCCTCCAACGCGTGCCACGCTGCCTTGCTACGAAACAATCAGGCCCAGGCCGAAGCCGAAACCGCGCCGGCGAATCGCCCCACCGACTCGAACCGACTGGACGTCGAGGACATCAAGGATAATGGCGAGCCTGTTGCCGATGGGCAAACACACCGGCACAACGACCGGCACACACACAGACACACACTCACAGACACACAGCACGAATACGCGCCCAGAGCCAGCGGGTTCAGAATTTTTGCGCTTCTTGTTTTCATCGCCTCCACTGGAAATTACTGCTTTTCACAGTGTGCACCGAGGCAGAATCAATTACTAACGCGGCGCGCAGCGTCAATTTCGTGTCCATTTTTCATAGACGGTACGCGCGGTCGGGGCGGCGCGGGGCGGGGCGGGGCGCACCGGCAACCCTCCAATCGATGAAGACCATCAATGTTGTATGCGGTCGTCGCGGGTGCGTGTCGCGTGACTTTTCTACGGGGGAAGATAAGAGGGCATGGTGGATAATAGGGATTCTGTTTTCCGGCGGTTGTTGCCTTTCTTTTCAGTTTTTTGTGTTTTTGTTTACTAACTCCGGACTGGCGAGACGGCAATGTACTACTCGGCTGTTTACCTCGTCGCTGCTCCGCTGTTCGGTATAAAGGGACAAGGCCCTCGGCCGGTGAGTGCGATGAGTCTGCCACTGCACTGTTGGAGTGGAACCGAGTGGAACCGAGCGTGCCGCAGGCTCGGCCGCAGGCGAGCCCATCTTTCTTGGCCAACTTTAATTGGGCCAACCCGTACACGTTATTTCTCTCTGAATTCACAAAAGCTCCGCTAAAGCGGCGGAACGAGCGAACGAGCGGCCCGTTCCGGTTTTACTTTTATTTACTTTTCGCGTTCCGCTCCACCGTAAGCCGTCCTCGTCAGCCTTTCGCAGCGCGGTTCGACTTGAATCGAGTCTCGAGCACGGCGCTCTTCGCGTCCTATTTTCCTCCCACCTTGCATTCCGCCCTTTTTCCCCCGCCCCCTCTGCCTGTCGGCTGCGCTCCGCGACCAGACGAACCGGTGACCTTGACCACGACCTTGACCGCGACCTTGACCGCGACCTTGACCACGACGTCGGGGAATAAAATGGGAAGGCGCGGGAGGGCTGGGCAGTACAACGGAAACATCGGAAAGCACCTCGCCTTGGCCAGTGACTCGGCCGATTAGCGTTGAGGTCCTTTCAGCCAAGATTCTCACCCCCATCCCTCGTTATGCCGAGCAGCCATTGACCAATATTTTGCGCGTACAATGGGTACAAAGATTTTATCACGCCTTTTTTGTGTTTTTCTTTTGCAGTGCGGTGGTACGCGAAGCCATCAATCTTACTTGGTCGCAAATTAATTTTTTTTTCTCTCAAGATGTGCTTGGGGAATTCAAAGAGTGCTGTGCTGCGAGAAAAAGATACAAAAATTAACGAAGCAGCGAATGTTTTTCAAGAGGGCCAGTTTCGCCTTGGCGGCCGGACCCACCCAGATTTCCATCCCCGGATCAAGACTCGCCTCCAGAACGGCCTTTATCCGGGGCTGAAACTCTTCTGATTGACCACGCATCGGAGGGGAGGGGGGGGGCGCAGTTTCCATGAAGCCAACATGACGGCCCGAAAAGAGGAGAAAAAGGGACGCGGTAAAGAGGGAATCTCCAATGCAAAGGAGCGGCAGCCCCGTCACTTCCAATCTCGACGCGGTCGCTCTCGCCCTCGCTCTCGCCGTCCTCGCCCCGATAGGCAAGCCGAGCCGAGGCAAGCCCAGGGGCTGCCGTGGTCGCCAGCCCGCCGAGTGGAAGCGCTGGGAGCTCCGGCGGCCTCAAACAACAGGTGCATCGGGTGCGTGCCTGCGAAGCACTCTGTCGGAGCGCACCGCCGGCACCGCCCTGCCCTACCCGCCGTCTGTTCGCACCTACCGCCCCGCCCTCGGCACGGCCCCCACGGCCCCACCCAATTTCCTGTGGTGTGCCGACGCCGCGGTCCCCGCACCCCACGCCGCCCCTTCCCACTCATTTGAGCCCACTACACATACATATACATACATACACACAAACACACACGCTGCTCGGCACGCCAAGGTTGGCACGCCCGGAGCGTGTGTCTGTGTCGCATGGAGGTGGCGGTGGAGTGCGGGGGGGGGGGAAGAGGCGCGGCGAAGACGAGGGAGGGGAACCCCTCGACAAATTACACATTCCGCGCGAGCCGGGCAGCGCAGCCAGCCGGGATCCGTCCGGTGTTCCGCGAGGCGCCGCGAGGCTAGGGGTGAAGGTGGAGCCACTTCCGTCGCCAGCGTGCCGCTGCAGGTGGATTCTGAGAGTCGTTTGTGTCGCTCCGTCTCGCTCGCACCCACGCCCCATGAGGGAGACAGAGCGACGAACACGACTCTCAGTCCGCTGGGCGGGGGAAGGGTGGGGGGAAAAGGGCGTGTGGGCGGCGCTGGAAGACGGAAGGAGGATCTCTCGGATGGAAGCCACTGCAATCGCCGACCTGCCCGGCCCAGCCGCCTCATTCCGAGGTGTCGTTTCGTCGCGCTGTCTCCGTCGCACTCGCGGGGCGCCCCGTGTGGGTGCGAGAGAGACAGAGCGACGAGTCGACTCTTCGCTCGGCAGGCAGGAGCAAGGGCTGGAGGACGGCACGGGGCCAATCAGCGCGGCGATGCCGACAAGAGGGAATCAGGAGGCCGCTCCGCGCCGGGGCGGTTCTCTGTCTCCCTCGCACTCCCTCTGCCCCACGAGTGCGAGGGAGACAGAGCGACTCGGCCCGGAATCACAACTGGCGAGGCCCGGGCGCGCTTTCATCCGGGCCAAGTGCCCCATCAGGCTGGCCGGCCCGTGCCCTCGGCGCCCTCGGCCGTGCTAAACTAAACAGCGCGAAGGGAGGCGGACCATCCGTTGACAAGCGGCACCGCTTTCAAATCTCATTTTCAGTCAGTTGCGTGCACTGCCGCCTCGAAACTTTTCATTTTCATTTCACCCCCTTGAGTGTGTCTGTGAGTGAGTGTGTGTGTGTGTCTGTGGCGGTGAGGGTGTGTGGGTGAACACGTTCAAGGCCGGCACGTGGACTATCACGGATCAGTTTATCGGCGGCTCAGCGTCTGAGCCTCTGCCTGCTCCGCCTCCACTCGGGGCGCCCTTCCTACAACACTCTCTCCGCGCCACCGCCTTTGCACCCTTTGCACCACCCGCTGCAGCCGGCAGCATCTGTCTCTCTCGCACCCCGTCGTTGGGGTACCCGGCGTTCCTAGTGAGCAGGCTGGGGTTGGCAACCATTCGACTACGGTCCATCGTGGGAGAGAGTGTTTGCCTACTTGTGGTGGCAGCACTGCGACAAGGTTCGCAGTCACGCGCGCCTGCGGGAAGCGAGGATGCCGCGCCGTCGAGCGGGACCGTCTCGTGGGTTGCCCACCCTGCGGGCGTTTCCCGCGCCGCGGCCA